AGACACAGGCAGGAGTCAGTCAACTTTGGCGTTGACTTACCCATCACCTCGTCCTGATTGTATCCAACAACCACACTTGACGCCGCCGACCTATCATTTCTTCATTTTGGGCTCCGCAGAAATGGCCTTGACGGAACAGACAGCCCCGCCCCAGGCTTGGGGTCGCTGGCAGCAGCAGCCTGCTGGCCATGACTACACGATGATGGATAACACAGCCTTTGTGCAGTACGACTCGAGAGCGACTACCTCTGCTCCTATGAACGGCACTATCATGTCTCCCCAGTATATGGTTGGCTCTCACTACGGTGTCGCATCTATGCCGGCAATGGGCCACCACTGCCCGACCCAGAACCACTTCGCATATGCTCAGTACGATTCACCCCCGGCCAACATGAACATGCCCTTCAGACTCCCAGCTCAACAAGAACGACCGATCATGCCGGTGGCAGCTCCGGAGCATGAGGTACCACGCGCCAGTTCCTATCCTCAGGAGTCGCCTTCGGGACAAAACGACCGACACCGCAGCCCATCCACCCGAAGTGAGACGAAGATGAGCAACCCAAAGACACCCCACCCCCTCAACACCAAGGAAATCAAGTTCAACAAGCCGACGAGCGCGGATCCGGTGAACTTTACCACTGCTATCGACACTCTCATGAAGGCGATCCAGAAGAGGCACGACACTGAAGATATCGTTAAGGGCGTCCCAGAGACCGAACAGGTTGTCAAGCCGGAGCCCAGATCTCCCAAGGTAAGACCCGATTCTGCGTACGCTGGCTAGAGTGACTGAACTGACATTATCCAGCCCGAGCCGACCCCAGCTGCTTCGGCCCCTACACCCTCGACAACGACGGACTCGATGGATGCCCCCAAGACCAAGCGTTACGTCTGTGACATTGACGGCTGCGGCAAAAGCTTCTATCAAAGCACCCACTTGGATACTCACAAACGCGCCCATACCGGTGAAAAGCCATACGTAAGTACATCTAGCTAGTCGAATGTGATGTGAATGACGCTGACACTTCGCAGACATGTACTTGGCCGAACTGTGAACGAACTTTCTCGCAGCCTGGTAATCTCAAGGTTGGTTCATCCGAATTCGAGCAAACACTGGGCCTCACTAATCCCTCTACAGACTCATATGCGCCGCCACACTGGCGAGAAGCCCTTCCGCTGCGAACAATGCAGCAAAGTGTTTGCCCAACGTGGCAACCTCCAGACGCACATGGCCACGCACACTAATGCGAAGCCATTTGTCTGCAAGCTCGATCAATGCAACAAGATGTTCACCCAAAGAGGCAATCTCAAGGTGTGTAAAGTCGGAGTGGCATATTCCACGGCCATCAAGCTAACTTGGACGTCAGAACCATCAAAACAAGTACCACGAGAAGACTCTCATGGAAATGACTGATTGGATTGTCTCCATTTCCGATATTGACGGCTTGTCCGATGATCAGAGAGAGATGTACTGGTACTTTGCCAATCTCTACAAGAACAGCAACAAAGGCATCAAGGGCCGTGGCAAGGATCGCAGGGTCAGCAACCGTGTCTCGAAGTCTAGAACTGCTCCCTCGTCTTATCCGGTCAAGCGCGTTCCCAACCCAGCAAGCCTCGCAGCATACAGCTCGAAGAGATTGCCTCCGCCAGAACAGTACATGCAACATCACCAGCACGGCTACGAGGTTTATGACACGGACATGGATCAGTCCTCGAGCGCAAGCAGCCCTAGATACGACGGCATTCCTGCTGCCTACCGAGACCGCATGTACCACCAGTCCAGCCATGCCATCTACTAGAGGCCAGATCGCAGCCCGGCGATCCCACACGAATACACGAACACGAATCACATCGAGTATATACCACAAGAACGGAACGGAGTAAAGAAAAGCAATATATGGACATGCTCAACAGGCTTTGGGGCGAAGCAATCCATCGGAAAACAACATCGAACATTGAACCAGAGCGTAACCTATTTCGCGGTAATTATTGGGTCGAGGCGGCTGTCTGAACATTCTTGCTTTCATGTTATTTCCTTGCAGTCGTCGTTCACTTGTTTTTAGCAAGGTGGTACTGATTGACTTATATTTTCCCTTGAATCATCTATATCGCGGTCAAGGTTACATTTCTTACGACGGGGAGTGTACGAGAGTCGAGTGCTTGAGCTGTTGAGCGGTTTCTTCTTCATTCTTAACCTGTTCCAGACTGGAAACTCTGGATAGGTGAACAACATATTGTTTACACATAGGCGGTGGCTTTTCGCCAGGCATTTTGGCCTGTCCGTGGACATACATCAAAGAGAGGGGGTTCATGGCACACGAAGGGGGGCTGTTGGATGATGTATCATGGGAGTTTTTAGACCACCCAACGGGATTGGGGCGTGTGCATTTGGATCAAAGCGGAGCGTGGAAGGGGAAAGGAGAGGAAAACAAACTTGGCCTCCCATCAGAGTTACTAGACTCTTCAGATACCCCTGGGATTTGCATTGGGATATGATGGGGCAAAAAGCGTGGCAACACGATGGAGTTGGGAACAAGCGTTAAACACAACTTTTTGTGTCCTGTGATTTTTTGTGTTTACGGGTCGACATTGGAACTGGACCCGATAGGAAGGATCCCGAGTATCATGCACCCCTTGCTTGTAGTGGATGCCTTGAACGCACGTATGAGAAGTTAGGATTATTGATACCAATTTTTTATCTACCACTACCAACATTGACTGCCTATTGCTCTTTCATGCGCGGTGAACGAAAAAGTGAACAAATCCGGTCTAGTGGAACTGCTTGCGTATAATAGCTGCTGGGCTTCCATGCAGGTGTGCAGCATGTGTGTCTCGCCCAAGCGTAATGTTGGCCCGGTAGCTGGAGGCGAGAAAGAGAGAGAGAGAGAGAGAGGCCTGGTGGAAGTTTCTCTATAGGCCAGGACCATGGCAGAGAATAGAGATTCCATAATCTGGGAGTGATTTCTCCGGGTCTTGAGTGGGTTAACTGATAATTACGGAGTGAGCACCTGCAGTAGGTACTTCTACTCTAACCCGAGGTCTTTGATCATCCTCAGCTGTTCTGATGAGGCTCAGACTACCCCATCAGACGAATGACAGAGCCGACGAATACGGGTATCGATACTGCCGATGGCAGTAAACGAAAAGGCGGTCTGCAACACACGCGCCCTCTCACGCACACACACTCCCACACACTCAGACACCGGGGACACACACCGGGGACACACAGCCGGGTTGGTAGCTGCATGTACCTATGATGGAATACCAAAAAAAGGTTTCCCAGCGTGTGCTAGCTGGGCTGGTTGACTGCCCGCGTGGCTGAAGCAGAAAGGAAGAAAAGGACCCCTTGTCACTGAGGGTTGGTTCTGGCACCCGGGTTTGGGTGTCGGCCGGAGCGCGGCTGCTGGTTCCCCTGATGCACTATGCCATCCATCTCAATTTTTTTTCCTTTCGTTGATGGTAGGTGTGTGTAAGGAAGGGGGGAGTGGGGAGTGAGGAGTGAAAGATGGGCGTGTGTTGGGTGCGAGGCGTGAGGTGAAGGGGGGAGTGGCAGAATGAGTTGTTGATTCTGTGCCTATATGCAATGGAACGCTTGCATGGCCTGTAATGTGCGTAAGAACGAGGCAAGGTACATCAAGGAAGCACGGAAGTTCGAAGATGGAAAGGCAAGGGGACTGAAGAGAGAGTGTGTGCGTGTGAGAGTGAGAGAAACCCCCCCACATACATGGCACTTTTACTATTTGGGAAGAGCTCTCGATTCAGGGAATTTGAGGCAAGGTCTAACGATCAATTTCCCATGTGTGATCATCGTGGAAAGCATCTGCCATGCCTGCCTTGCTTGTCTAGACTTTAGACAGTAGCGGTCGAAAAAAAAAGAGAAGCGTTGCATTATAAGGTATCCGTCAGGAAATTAAAACAGGCACCAGTTTATTAAGTTCCAGATTCCCGTCCCGCCCGCGGCCCCCCGTTCCTTAGGGTACCTAGCCTCCCAACGCACGGAACGTAACTATCCAACTGCCGCGAGCGCCTCGCACTTTGGACACGGGTGACGGATGCAACTGAACCATACGGATACAAAGGGTGGAAAGGAGAATCAAACAAGAAAGATGCCTGGAAGAAGAATGCAACCTCCCGAGTCCCCCAACATCCATGTTCTTCCGGTGGGCACAGTTCACGTGGGTGCTCTAGAATCTTTCTCCGAGATCCCCACCCACTACTGCCAGTACCTTGGCGGAACCCCCAACATCACAGGTGTTTCACCGAAAGCAGGTGTTGGTTTGATTCCAAGGTTTGACGTGAGCCCGAATTAGACTCTGCCCCCAGACGGGACGGAGATGCCGCAATGTCTCTCGTCCCTGGGACCTTGGGGGAGGGCAGAAGGTAGGTAGGATCCCAAATCGCATGTATGCGGGCAGGCATTAGGTAGGAAAGCTCAACATGAATGAGGGAGGTTTCTGGCGGATACGACGAAAGGACGGATGGATGTGTGGTGGTGATGCGACCGGGCCGTCCCTATTGGCCGTGGTCTCGGTGAAGGAGGGAAAACCTGAGGGTGGGGTAGGATTCGCTGCAGGGAATGGGGGAGGATTGGGGGGATTTCTACCTTTATGCCCAACATGCCAAGGGGCACCTGACCAACCCACGTGCCAACTTCTACCTGAAAGGCATGGTGAGCCTTTCGGTGACGGTCCCTCAGGTGTATGATGCACTTTTGTTCGCGAGGCAATGTCTCTCTCTCGTCTGCATGTGTGTGGCAGGGAAAGTGTTGCGATTTTCGGTTCTGGCGCTGCGCGTACCTTCTATCCCTTATTCCCATCGCATTGCCATGAGACTTGGGGAACTGGCCAAGAGATTGGAGAAGGATAGAGGACTAGGCAGCATAGGATTTGTCAACACTTTTAGGGTGATCTGTGTAACCGTCTATCAGGGGCGCTGTTTTTCTCAGAGTTAATGATGCAGGGCAATTCCAACCGGAGGACAAGAAATCCATGATGCACTCTTACTTCCGTAATATTAGTCATGACGCTACCAGCGACGAGGAGGGTCTCAGAATGTCACTGAGAAACTAGACAGGGAAAAAAAAGGAACGTCCGTCTCTTTGACATGTCGTCGGGCTGAGCTCGTCGAGAGCCTAATGCTGAATAATGCAAGAATAAGCAGACAAGGGACGAAAAAACACGCTTTTGCCAAAAAGAATGGTTTTTTTTTGAGGCTTTTCCATCTCCGTCCTAAACGTCACCGTTACAAGCGGGAGCACCCGTTTACCCGCTCCCAGGCCAAACTTTCTTGAGATGTTTTGGTGGGGTCAGACTTGGGTTTTTTTCCCATTGTTCAGACGATTTTGAGTTTGGAGCTAAGAGATGACAACCCTGTCAACGTTCAATGGTTCAAGGGGATCCATGCCGTTTTCAGAGAAATTTGGATCCCATTGTTGGAAGAGTCGATGGTGGCTTCAATGAATTGATACACGAGTTTTTCTGAGCTGGGACTTCAGTCCCTGTTTGGATACTCCGATGCAAGTCGAGGTCAAGACTTACGCAAGATTGGCCGAATTTGAAAAATAAAAGTCCAGGTTGTTGTTGGCTAAGATTGAGGAGACCCAAGCGTACCGTCCTGGCTATGTATCAAACATCTACTAGAAGTAGTCTAAATGTGAACAAATTACAGATGACGCTATTCCTGTTTTCATTTTTCAAATTTCTCTCCCTTTTTTTCTCTAACCTTTTTGCTGAGCACATTTCGTCCAGATTAGCTGCTGAGAGGAACGTAGTTTCATTTGGCATATTGAAATTCAATGGAAAGCCCTATCTAGACTAACGGCCAAGGAACGAGAACTGGGTGATCAGCTTTCGTAAATTTTGTATACCATAACAACTCCGACTTAGGTGATTAATACGACGTATCTTTATTACCCTTAAGCTCATGTTCACTTTGTCCCAAAAACTAAGATTTCTGTCAGCTTTCGTATGTCTTAGTCACGCTTCGTCGTCCTGACAGGCGATACAAGTCAGGATCTTAGTAAGAAAAGTAGACTCGCAGATGTAACAGCGAGCTGAATGCACTGACTATGGATTTGGTCTTTAAATTTTCGAAGTACGGCCAAAGTCGATTGATAAAGCAGTGCTTGTAAGGGTGGGGTATTGCAAAAGAGACCCTATTAGTGGCGGGAGATCTAGAATGACCTTTACTATATCCCAAATGGCTAATTAAGTGCACAAGTTTCTTTTATAAAAGTTTGTTGCAAGACCAAGAAGCGTTATGCAATCAATCGCCGGGGCATCGATGCGTGTCAGAGGCATCGTCAATACTTCGTTCCATCATTCCTATGGTGCTTGAAAACATAAAAACGGCCAACTCCACGCTCACAATCCAGCCGAGTCAGAAACCGGACATGGTCTATTTGTTATCAGGATCCCGCTCTGCCTGATCTACAACAACATCTCCCGCATCTATATCCGTAGCAGCAGGTGCATCTGGAACCAGCCTGATGAGGAACACCATGCACGGAATGGTAATGGCCATCAGCGCAGCATTGACGTAGAATGGAATTCTAGGGTCGGCGCTGGTCTTGGAGTTGAGAGCGTACGAGACGGCCTGGCCGGCGGTCTCAAAGGCGCGGAACAGACCACCCGAGCGGGAGGAGGATCCGACGTCTGTGGAGAAGGTGCCAAGAATCCAGTAGAGGGACAACTGAGTCCAGTAACCGGTCGAGAACATGATCAGATAAGGAAGGTAAGCTTCGGCCCATCTTCGGGTGTGCCTGTTGGGAAGCGATACTGTTAGCGGCACGGTGCTTTGAATCAGAGAAGGGGCGGAGGGATAGTAGATGACGCACAACTCATAGTCGAGGGCCTCGTCGATTTTGCCTCCGCCAAACTTGCTGTACTCGATGCCGATCCAGATGAAGCACATGGCCTGGGGGATGACCCAGAAGAAAAAGGAGATCCACGCTCGCCTGGCTTGTGACCAGCGGGACGTGTCCAAGAGCTTTCCGTAGGCGAGGACCATGACGATGGTGATTGCCGCTACGAGATGGAACTTTTAGCATGGATCCGGGGAATGACAGTGATGAAAAGACAAAGTAGGGTAACTCACGAGTGATCAGCGACGATAGTGCGCGAGCCCGGACGGAGAAGTGCAGGGAGAGGTAGGTGCCCATGGTTCCGCCAAAGAAGAAGGAGTAGAACGCGGGAATAGACATGAGCCATGTCTAAGGGTTTGAGCCGTCAGTACTACGTCAAAGTCGTCATGGGTTGACTGGGTGTGCTCACCTTTCTGCGCTGTAAGTGCCTCCACAACGCAATCAGTTCTCTCTTCCAGCTGATGCTGCTGGCCATGGGGATCTTTGCGCCGTTGCGACGTCGTACGCGTCTGGTGGGGGATAGGAGGAGGGCCCAAATCGTTCCAGTGCATTCTGTCAGGGGTTCGTATTAGAACATGTGTCAATTCAGATTTGGACATGAGTGGGTATGTTCTTACCGAAGCCGACGAATATCAAGTAGGTAGACCACGCGATACCACCAGCATTGGCTCTGGAGTAGTTGGTCGAGAAGTTGATGGCGCCTCCCATGACGCTACCAGAGTTTCTCATGGCCGACCAGATACCTGTCCAACTTTGTTAACACAAACACACTCAAAGAGCTCCCGGAACTTTTTTACCCAGGTAGAAACCTCTGTCGTTTGCTTCCGGATACGACAGCATGGCGGCTGTCTCGGCCACGTAGAGGAAACCAGACGTGAAACCCCCAAGAAGCTGTGTACCAAGTTAGCTCCAGAGCGGAACAGACGTAGTACAGTAAGGGGCATGGCGTACTCTTGCAAAGAGAAGATACCAGTCTATCGAGTACTTCGCGCTCACGTAGTAGGCCGAACCAGCAAGAGGCATACTGACGGCGGCGATCATACAGGACCACTTGATTCCTATCTTGTTGATCAGAGGCCCGCCAAAGACGGTGATCAGACAGCCGGCCATGTAGCTGAGAGCAGTCGCCAAGTTGGCCAAGTATGGTGTCGAGAGGCCGCCGCCCCCGAGGTTAGAGATGGCGTCCGACATTGCAGGTCCGACGAAGGATAGCCTACATGAGGACATCAATTCGAATCCGTGACATTGAGATATGATCCCGAGACAAAGTTCTACTTACGCTCCAAAAAGGATCATCTGGAACAACACGCCTCTGTAGAATCTCGTCGACTTGGAGGCGCGGAGGTAGGCCTCGTCGACGTTCTCGACAGCGCCCTCATCGTAGACGTAGCTGGTGCCGGCGGCATGGTCTGTTGCTTCGGGATAGCTAGTCGTCTCGGGGATCTTGGTGTCGTCCTTTGTCTGTGGAGTTGCCATGGTGTTAGGAGAGAGCACTGGATACGTGCTCGAGACCGCGGGTGTCGAGTCTGGGGACGAGTCGATGGGCCTGGCATTGGCCTGTATATAGTGGTATTGTCATATCATTAGAGAGGCTGTCATTGGTTCATTCCAGGATGGCTGTAGTTCGCCAAAGAGCCATTCAACTAGTCAGTGCGGATGACGGTTCCCATTCTGGGGTTGGGTAAAGATCACTGGGTACGGCCTTGTTAGACAATTGGATTCGTAGCCTACTGCTTGATTACTGTGTCAGTTTGTCTACCTATCTTCCGGGGCCTGCCCAGTTTCACCGAGCCAGTAGAGGCTTATCACGGTTATCGGTAGTTGGTGCTTCCCCGGTTTATCTGTCAGCCACCCCAACATGGAGATACGCAGATAAGCAGCGTCATGTCCGCAAGGAATTGGGATATGTATGGGACACACATGGGAAGAGCGGGCCTCTTTTCTTGCGCCTGAGTTCCAATCCAACATCTTGACCGGGCCGGTCGATAACTCTAAAGGGTTGTGCTGCAACCGCTGTCCTGGGTTAGATGGCGGAGGGTCATCTGAATGAGCTTTTAAAAGGCCGAGATTTGGAGGATCGCTGCTGATAAACTTCACGGAAACGCATACCCAAACGGGGGTTCCCCGCAACGACCGGGCCGGTCAGTCGATTTACTCTTTGAACACTTCGGTCCCCTCCCTGGTCCTCTTCGACTCTACGAGTAAGGTAGGTGGACACAATTGAGTCTGCTCACCGGACGGAACATCTTTCCCGACAGGTTTCCCGTCCCGGCCCCGCCCCACCCCCGGCGCTCGCCTACCTGGTGCGGACCGTGATGGAACATCCGCGCTCGATGCTTTTGGGCCTTTAATTATAACGGCGGGCGCGGCGGCTTGGTCTTCTACTTCTATCTCGTGCAGCTGAAAACAGTCAATCACAACATCTTGTGTCTGATCCTCCCCAAGAAAGACAAACACCCTGCCGCACAGCCATGCCCGTTTCCCCGCTCCCCGTCCCCAACTCCACGACCTCCTTCTGGAGGTCATCCCCGCACCCTCTAGACGATCACCGGTCTACCCCGGAGCTCCCAGCCGAAGTTGACATTGCAGTCATTGGCGCCGGCTATGCAGGTGTCGCTACGGTATACCACATCCTCGACCAGTGCAAGGCGCGTGGTGTCGCGCCGCCAAAGATTTTGATACTTGAGGCCCGACAGGCATGTTCCGGGGCAACTGGACGCAATGGTATGCTTGACAACCCTATCAATCCCTCTCGTCTTACCAGTTGGGCTTTTTGCTGACTTGAGACATGGTAAAGGCGGCCATCTTAAGCCGGATCCGTACAATCGCCCCGCAAGTTTTGTTTCCACTCATGGCATCGAGACTGCGAAGGAGTGCGCGGAGTTCGAGGCCAAGAACCTCATGGAAGTGAAGAAGGCGATTGAAGCCGAAGGTATTGACTGTGATTTTGTCTTGACTCGGGCAGTCGACGCCTTGATGTCAGAGAGTATCCGCGATAAGATGAAGGCCAACGTTGAGCTGCTCAGGAAAGCTGGCGTTTCTGTAATGAAGGACGTTTACTATGCCGATGGCGCTGAAGCTGAACAAGTAAGTCGAGCTACAGCCTGTCCTTAAACTTTGTGACTAACTGTTTACTTCCAGCTATCAGGTGTTAAGGGAGTAAAGGGCTGCCTATCATATACCGCCGGCACCGTCTGGCCATACAAACTAATCCTGGCCCTCCTCTCAAAGGCCCTCGACGCCGGCGTCAATCTGCAGACCCACACGCCCGTCGAGGCAGTAACCAGCATCCCCGACGCGGACGGCTACCTGACGTTAACGACGGCGCGGGGCGCCGTCCGCGCCGCAAAAATTGTATACGCGACAAACGGCTACACGTCGTCCATCCTGCCCGAATTTGCCGACAAGATTGTCCCCGTGCGCGGCATCTGCAGTCACATCACGCCCGGCAAGACGCCTGCCCCTTTGCTGCCTCACTCGGTCATTATCCGGTGGTCCGACACGGAGTACGAGTATCTGATTCCCCGACTCGACGGGAGCATCGTCGTCGGCGGTGCGCGGTCCTCGTATTATCATGATTTGTCGGCGTGGTATAACAAGGTCAACGATGACGAGTTGATTGAGGCGGCGAAGACGCATTTCGATGGGTATATGCAGCGTGTGTTCCGCGGATGGGAAGACAGCGGCGCGACTACCTCGAAGGTGTGGACTGGAAGTAAGTCAATAAACCCCTATGTAGTAAGACTCATAATATGAAACCGGTGACTAATAATGATACAGTCATGGGCTACTCATCAGACGGATTGCCGCATGTCGGCATCGTCCCCGGAAAAGAGAAACAATTCATCATTGCCGGGTTCAACGGCCATGGCATGCCACAGATTTTCCTGTCGGCTAAGGGAGTAGCATCAATAATTCTGGAGCAGTCTGAGTTCAAAGCTACGGGTATCCCTAAGGTCTACCAGGCTTCTCAAGCGAGATTGGACAGCTCCAGAAATTCCATCCTCGAGAGCTGGAAGTCGGTCAACCAGCCGCCGGCAAAACTGTAGAGTTCGTAAATTTCATGTGGAGTGGCGTATTAGAGGCCTAGTTCAGGGAGTATGCCTACTAGAGTTGGCCTTGTTGTAATTTTGTAGTTACGTGTTTGGTTTAGCTGTTGCAGCTTAGACAGTTTCCGGAAAGAGCCTCCGGCATATTAAGTAAAGTCATTTGCGTACTATAGACGAACCAGCTTATTGTTAAGATATTTCATATAATCTAGCGAATCATACTCATATCAAGGTATTCCACTAATTATCTTAATGGCAATTAATCCAATGCCTATAGTTTTTGATGACCTACATCATTTTCAAGAACCCAGATGATGTAGCGATTAAGTATGAGCGCCCTGCAACTAGACAAATGTCAGCTTGCACATAGTGAGACCACAATGCAATACAATGTGGTAGCTTGGTGATTCACTCATCATTTTGATTTTCGAAACACGATGAATGACTGGGCGATTTAACAGACATGTATTGTTTTTGCTCTGTATCTTGAAATCTAAATTGCTAGAAATGCTCTGTCGAAGGTATTTGCGGCAACTGACCATCTGTGTAATGAGTCCACTTTTTTATATTGATGCTTTGAGAGAAACCATTCATAGTAAGTCTCTCTCGAGAAATTAAGCGTTCTGTGAATTGCCAATGACTTCTCCGGCCTTACCATACCGATAGCGGCTTTGATCCGTCACTTCGGACATCTATTGTCCGTCCTTATCTTTCCGTTTTGGCGTTGCATCCGACAAAGGTCCCTAGTCTCCACCCCAACAGCCCCCCTCTGTCGTCTTTAACCGCAAATCAGTTGACTCGATAAGAAGCCGGGTAAAGCAAACCAACACCGGCGACAAAACTGGCTGCCGGAAAACAGTATGTATATGAGGCCGGCTCCGGCGTTCAAGATAACCATCTGGCAAACGTAATGCTGTATGTTTTGTGAGATACACTCATTATTAAGATTCCCTGGGCGATGAGCTGTACAGATCTGAAATAGACTGAGCTGGTTGTCTCCACTTTACGTCCACTTGACTTCCTCCTGTCGCCAAGCTCAACTTCCCCAGATTGTTGACCAGTCTAGCGTCGGATTCGTCCGCCACAATGTTCCACATCGTTGGTGTAAATGCCGCTCATGGCTCGTCTTTTGCATTCCGTAACGCCATGGGGTTCTGGTCACCAAAGCATGAGCACACGTGGGAATGCACCGGGCCGGCGCTTCTTTTTCCAGTCCCCTTGTAACGTTAACAGTCGCATCCCAGCATCCGTTGTATCCCAGTAGATGCAATAAGCCTGATAACGTTTTCCTCCCCTAGCAATAACCTATTTATCCTTTCCGGCGAAGAGGCCCACTCGAATATCAAAGGTCGATAGGGAACCGGGAATCGGCGCCGGAAACTGTAACTCTTGTGATGCCTGTCCTGAACCCCCCGCACTTCGCAACACGTGCGGGGAGACAACACCAAGTCTCTCAGATGAAGCCCAGCCTTCCATAAAGGCGCGACCCATGCGATGCCTCGTGATAAACCTCATATTTAATCTACATCATCGTGTTGGTAGAGACCTCTCGGACCAACAGACACACCCTGAAGTAACCCCTTGCATCGTGTGACCATCCAATAACCACCCCCGAACCTACCTCTTCCGGGCATCATTGGTACAGCACTCTTACATACACATCCACGCAACACACATCAGCCACCCCCAAACCGCAATGACACCACCAAAGAACGTCGTCTTCGACGTAGTCGGCACCCTCGTCACATACGAGCACCTCTTCGAAGCAATCGACGAGCGCCTAGGCGAACGCCTCCGCGCCCGCGGCATCCAGCCAAAACTCCTCGGCTGCTGCTGGCTCGAGGTCGCCGAGCGCGAGTACACCTACCTCTCCATGTCGGGCCGCTACGTCGTCTTCTACAAGGTCTTCACCGCACTTTTTTACCGCTGCCTGCACTACGCCGGCATCGAGGACCCGCGCGCCTTCGCGAGCGACGAGGACGTCGACTACCTCATTGGCGAGTGGAAGAGCCTGCGCCTGCGCGAGGGCGCAGCCGATTGCGTGGCCAAGCTCCGCGCCGCGGGGTTTACGGTGTGGTGCTTCACGGCGGGCGATATCGCTCGCGTCGGGGGCTACTTCTCGAGGGGCGGGGTCGAGATGCCGGTCGAGAACTTGCTCTCGTGCGATTCGTCTGGCTTGGCGAAGCCGACGCCCGAGGCGTATGCGCCTATCTTGAAAAAGTTGTCTGCTGATGGGTGCGAGCCTTGGTTTGCGGCGGCGCATTTGTGGGATGCGTCGACAGCGAAGACTGTGGGGTAAGTCGACCTTTTGGTTCACCGATCGTTGTGTTGTATTGGACTCACTAACATCTCGCAGATTCAAGGCGGCATACTGTACTGCTCTGGAGGGAGAGGCGTTACCAGAGATTTTCGGTGAGATGGATGTGGTGGCGGAGACGCTGCCGGCGATGGCGGACAGGATTATTGCTACGTATGAGAAGTAGACCATCTATCATCTTGCGTAATATAAAAACATGTTAAGCCAAATTTGCGTTGACCATTAAGGCTGAACATTATCAAATTTGTATAAACATTAGACAGTAATTGTATTTGGCTCTCCTTCATGAGCGTCTGCGCTCTAGTCCCATTGACGCTCGTCATTATTCGTTAAACTCATTTCGGTCCACCTTGCTTGGCTGCCGCCATCGCCGCCATCTTGGCTTTGCGGGCTGCCCTCCATCCCGGAGATTTGATTCGTAGTACTGTGAGACACACCGTTAGCATACAAGCTTTCCAAGACGCGACCAAGGGAAGACTAACCAATTACAGCAGACCCGACAAGGACCAAGTCCAACAACGCGAGTCCTGTGAAACACCATCCGCTTCCCATCTTGGACACGAGAGAAGGGATCACGAGGGCGGCGATGGCAGCGCCGGGATTCCGCAGCATATTTCCGAGCGCAAAGGCACCTGCAGCCTGCTGAGCCACGCACTCAGTCAAAAAAGCTGTCGTGGCCACAAATACCCAATTCATCCCGAAGCCGGCTGTGAAAGAGTCACACATGTCAGTCTCGAGTTCACGTGAGATAGGAGGCGGAAACCAAGAGATCTCTCCCAATATCGGACAAGAACTTACTCAAAAACGTGGCAACTAGAACGGCGGCGGGGTGGAGTGAGATGTCGACGAACCAGCCGTACATGGCACATCCACCGGCGCAAACAATGACCCCCCAAATCTGGTCTGCAAGTCTATTTTCGGGATCGACGGTGTTGTCAGGAGACGCCTTAACGGCGCGCGCCCTTCGCCAGTCCGAGAAGCGTCCGCCGACCAAGGAACCCGCAATCATGGCGACGCCGACGGCGATGAAACCGGCGCCGACGCCTGCGCTGGACCAGTTGTAGCGGTCGGCGAGCTCAGTGGGCAGCTGCACTGCGATGGCAAAGTAGGTCGAGTAGAGCATTGCGGTGTTGAAGGACACGATGCCGATAGGTGGGTAGCTGAAGAGACGCCAGTACATGAGCAGGGTTGGCTTGGGAGGAGGGGGGCCCCTTTCCGACTCTGGTGCTAGGGGCGAAGACAGCTTCGGAGGGAGGAGGATGAAGCTTGACTGGGAGTAGAGCTTGCCGCTGCCTACCCTGGCGCGCAGAGTCTCTGGAAGCATGAGGATGATGATGATCCAGAGCACGAAACCGGCAATAGCTGTGAGAGTACGATTAGTATGGTTCAGTTTGTCACGGGCTGAGAGGGTGGAAGGCTCACCAAGGAAGCCAAAGATCCAGCGCCATGATGCCACCGTCAACGCGCCTCCTATCACTGGGCCGAGGACAGGGCCGAGCTGGGGACCTAAGAGGAATATACTCATTGCGAATGCTCTCTCTTTGGGTGGAGTGACCTAGGAAACGGGTTAGTAAGATGAGCAGTGGATGTGTGGTGAATTCTCTCGAGCCACGTACATCGGCGACAGTGCCGGCGCCCATCGACACGACAGCCGCAGACCCAAAGGCCTGGACGATACGAAGAAATACAAGAGCGCCATAGTTGGCCGGTACTACAGCCAGAAGGATATTGGCAACAATATAGATGGAGAGAGAGATGATGTACAGCGGTCTCCTGCCCTTCCAATCGGCGAAACTGGCCCAGAATAGAGGCTGGTGGAGTGTAAGCGTCATGTTCTATCTTGAGCATGAGGTTCGAAAGGCTGGGGAACATACACCGAAGGCGAAGGTGAGCATGAAAACGGACACGGTAACGTTTATGGCCGTTGCGCTCGCGTGGAATTCATTCTCTAAGACGGGCAGAGCAGGGAGGTAGATGTTGCCGGCCAGAGGCCCGAAACAACCGGCCACGGTGACAACGATGAGGATGAAGCGCTTTCGCCATGGCGAGAAGGCCGAGTAGGCCGGCGGGGCGCCGGCTTTCTTCTCTGGATCTCCGGCGGACGGGACTGGAGGCGACGGCGATAGGGGCGCCTGGCTGGTGGTGGTAGTGCTGGTATTAGCCGGGGCCGGCACCTCCTGTGAAGACATTGTGTGATCTTTGGTGGGCGTCGCCGTGCGCGAAGTCGATGGACTGGAGTCGGCCATCTTTGACAAAGAATTCTGAACAAAGCAAATACGGAAAAGATACTCAGAAGTAGAGGTATAGACTCGGAAGTAGATCGACGGAAACGAAGGAGTATGATGGAGAAACTCGGCGGTCAAAAGCCAGGAAGCGGTAAAATGAAGCAACACTGCTTCGGTGATTACCGTTGTTTCTGATCATGTCTACGGACACTAGGTAAGGTAAGGTATGTATGAACGATTCAGTGTCCATTTAATAAACCCCTGGCTTCTTAGGCGAGCCTTTCTCAGTCTTACACGTAAAGGTAGCAACGTACTCCGTACAGGTCAAAGGCAGTGATCAGGAAGGATCCGTCCGACCCCGGCCCCCCCAGTTACTTCTTGCTGAATCCTCATCGGGGCACTGCCGCATTTCTCTGGCGGGCGTATGCGGGGAGGCTCCGCCCAAAGTACCGGTACCTTTACGGCGGCAATACGTACCTGAAGGCACGTCCCTGGTCCACTTTACGCCAACCCGCCTTGGGAAAGTCCAGAGAACCTCATCAAACTCTCTTTCTCTCGCTGCATCTTCTGCTTCCTCCATTCCTTGTCTGGTCCTTCTTGGCATCACAACTCGCATCAGGCCCGCTTGGCGGCCAATAAACCTTCCCAAGGATGTGGCCTTTTGTTCTTTACTTTGTCTGGCGCGACTGACCGATGCGTCGGGCATTGCACAGCCCGGTGTGCCGCTGACTGTGGTCTACCTAGGTCTGCAGACAAATTTGTACGACGAACATCTGATATCCCAAGGCAAAAATGCAATGTTCCATGTTCCACCACCAACACGCATATGCGGTCTATTTCGAGAAGACGACGAAGCCTCTGTTCATGCCTACCTGACTGTAATTCCTGATCCTGTCTTGTGGTCTCCTGCTGCAAGTCATCTCTAGGCAGCTAGAGTTTCTGCTACCTTACTTTGGGTAGGGCTGAGGAGAAGGAAGGAAGACTGCTTCCATCTTGTCAATGGTCACATCTCGATCCTTGTAAGTGCTACCGTTGCTTTTTTGTCTTCTCTCGCTTCCTCGGAACATCGGCCCTTGAACATATAAGCTTGTTATTTCTTTGTCACAGCTTCGACTGACATCGTAACCGCAGACGCCCTTCACGACGAGATGCTGCTATTTTTGCTAGAGGCTTTACTCCTCGGAGCGCTGCTCCTTGGACTCGTTTACTACTTTCTTCTCTTGCCTCCTAGATACCCGCAGAACATCCCGGCGATACCGTTCTGGGTAGCCCTCATTCCCTTCTTCAAGGACGTTGACCAGTCGGACATTTTCCGTCAGTACATTGACAAGCCGCTACGTACTCACGGAGCAGTCAAGATTTTCTTCGGCGCGCAATGGAACATCTTGGTACATCGACCCTCGTATCTGGTTGAGATATTCAAAGATGAAGATTTGTACGAGAAGAGCGGCAACCAGAAGAAGATTCCTCACAGCGTCCTGGCAGAGTTCCTTGGTAAGTGTTCTTTGCCACCCTTAGTGCTTCGAAAAATTCTAACTCGGAAACAGGCGACAATGTTATCTCGGCGAGAGGCGATGTCTGGAAGAACTATCGGTCGGTCATCAAGCCAGGCCTCCAGAGGAATTTCGATGGCGAAATCATCGAAAGCAACGCAGTCAGCCTGTGCCGTCTCCTTCGTGAATCCCAAAAGCGGGCCGGCGGTGGAGGCGGCGGCGTTGCTGTGCAGGACCTGTTGCAGCGGTATTCCGTCTCCAACTTCACCGAAGCCGTCTTGGGTACCAAGTTGCATGTAAGTCGCCCTGGCCCCCACGACAAGACCGAATCTAGCAGGGGGTCTCGCAGCGTGCTGACCGCAGCCGATTCGTCGTAGGCACTCGACAGGGCAGATGCTCCTATCAATCTCCTCCAGACGGCGGTCAAGAGGGAGATCTTCAAGCCCATCTTTATGAGCTTTCCATTCCTCGACAGGTTGCCGCTGAAGTCTCGCTTGGCGGCCCGACGCACTGTGGGCCTGTTCAAGAACGAGCTCAAACGCGCGCTGCAGGCGAGCCACCACATGCCTGTGGAGAAGGCATCATCCCTGTCAGACCAATCCGACAAGAAGCTCGGCCAGCGCATGCTCGACGCCAGAGCATCGGGCATGTGGGATGAGAAGCAGCTCCTCGACAACCTCACCGTGGCATTTGTGGCCGGTCAAGAGAACCCACAGCTGCTTATGATATCGAGCTTGTATCTTTTGGCGAAACATCCTGTAAGTCAGCAAACCTGCCCAGGCCCGTGCCGTCTCACGCGTGCATTCGTTGCTGACAAGTCTGGTGGGGTGTTAGAAGGCGCAAGAGGCTTTGCGCCAAGAAATCCTTTCCAAGGATGCCAAGTCTTCAGCAGATCTGGCCAAAGAAGACATGCCGTATCTCACCTCACTCATCTACGAGTGCCTGCGCTTGTTCCCTCCCATTGGTCAATTGATCAACCGGAAAGCTGCGGAGACGGCGCTGCTGGGCGGCGAGGTCGTAATCCCAAAGGGGACATATGTCGGCTACCACTGCTACTCAACAAACCGATGCCCGACTGCATGGGGTCCCACAGCAGACAAGTTTGACCCTGGACGGTTTGTCTTACAAGTGCACATTCGTCGAACTATCATGAAGCTCACATTTTCAGGTGGGGATCATCCTCAGAAGTCATTCAGCAAAACTACCGCCGCCACCGGGTAAAGGGGGAGTGGATCAGCTTTCATGGTGGTAAGACAGATTCCATACGAAGAGTGGTGAATTATTTTACCGAGATAGTCCTGCTGACTCTATCTCAGGCAAACGCGCATGCCTCGGAGAGAAATTCGCAATGTTGGAAATGAGGACTACCCTGATCCAACTGGTCCGTGAGTTCTCCTTCACTTTGGACCCGATGTGGGTTGACCGCAAGACTCCGGTAAGTTTAAGCCTTTCACTGCCTATGTCCCCGCGGTAGACCGAATTCTCCACTCTTTCCAGATTTTCGGCGCTGACGAAAGGCTTCTTGTTCGCTTTTTCTCCAGGCCGGTCCCCTTTATCCTCGGGCACTTCGGCTGGTTTTGACAGACAGGGTTGACGATGAAAAGAGAGTCGTGAACTAGGCGGGCCTGGGTGATCTACGGGCTCGGGCGGTTTTGGGTAGATTGAGTTTTGATTTGCTCTCTGGGGGTTTAGATAGGGTTACAGAGTTTGATAATCATAGTGATAATAAGACGCTACTTTCCGATGAACAGGTACTTCCCGCATCATCCCTGACCGAACTCTCGGTTCCCCATAATTAAGAACCAGGGGTTACGCTTCTAAATTAATCGACAAGCATAATTGGAGAAGGCCGCTTCGATCTTCGTTGAAATGCACCAGAAGCGAAAGCATGCCGATCCACCCAATGGAAAGCAACTCTTGTGCTGCTCTATGTCCAAGAACCTCACGTCGACCCGAATGCAACTCCAACTTTCGAAAAGCCGCATTCCAACGCCAAGAGAGCCGCGCCATAGTCGGTGCATGCTGCGTATGTTGGCTGCGGTATCTTGCGGAATCTCAGCAAGTAGCCTGCCTGTGCTGCGGGCATGCAAACTGCAAAGTACAAATAGATATATGCACTCGAGTGGGAACCACCTTTTTCGCGCGTGAGAAACTGGGGCGGTAAATTCTGTGGGAAAATCATTCGTCTGCCTTTTTTTTTTTGCTGCAAGAAATGACCGCCATGCGGCCCATGGAAGCGCAGCCATCGGACTTTCGTGCCTTGGCAATGCCCTGCCCTGCTCTTCCCTTCCCTTCATGATCCCTGCCAGCATGTCCTTTGTGAGTTTACCTAAAGTCTTCGAAAAATGGACAACGACGACGCCAAGGCCTGACAGCTTTTGAGCTAAGAGAAATATGGCAACCCAAGACCGAGATGTAAGGTTTGGTGCTTAGCGCGCAGGTTCCGCAAGGTCCTTTAAGGTAGTGGAGACTTTTTGACCTTCGCCCCAAGGTGATCTTAATGGCGTGATGTTAATGGGATTTGATTAGTCGTGTTCGTTCCTTCGGATGAGAAGCCTTGACTTATTCTTGGTCTGTGCCGAACAGCGTTCTTTGTTCAGTCTAACTGTTGGAGACACACGTCTTTTCCAACATCGAGACTGGCCTCCCCCTCCCGACTAACGACAACGGTCGTTGAACGATGCTGGCAAACGGCTCGTCGTACCCCCACTTTTCATGGACACTTGAATCCTTGCTTGCTTCTCGAGGGGCTGACCATGGAATCTCATCATCAGATGGCCCCTTCCTCGCGTACAAAGTAAGTAGTACGCACCCCAGGCAGCGTATTCGTACCTGTACACAGAACAATGAGCCTGAACGACACCCTGGTCACAGCTCAGTGGGGACACAAGACCTGGATATCTTGTGTTACCGCAAGGAATTCGGTCTTTCTCAGCCAAGGGACAAATGCAAGAGAAGGGAAACAGCACCAAGAGCCCCAAAAAGGAGGAACGAAGGGAAAGATTACGTTCCCTTGTATATTGCCCGCTACAGGCATCTTGTTCATGCCCCCAAGGCCTAAGCTGCGGATTGCTCCTCCTCTTCTACCCAGCATTGGCCCCAGCCCTGCTGCTGTACTTTGTACATGTACAACGATCATAGTTCCTTCTCTCGCATTTCTTCCAAGTCGGGCAAAGGCTTGAATCAGGATTCTTCGGTGATCCCATTTATGCAACCTTCCTGTGGACTAGACTAGGAAGGCATCATCCCCTGTCTCGCCACCTCCTTCTGCTGAAGAACTTCTTGCTAAACCCTCCTCCTTCGGCAACCATCGGGGCTTCCTCGTGTATCTACATCCAGCAGTATCTGTCTTATTTTTGTTCCTTCCTGTGTTGAGCTGACAGCAATCCCACCTGCGTTGAAGCGGCACAAACGCATGCCTCCGCCTCGTTCTCCTCTTGGATCAGTCTTGGTCGTACGGCGGATACACTTCACAGCCGCCTCGGTATTCCTCGAGTTGGAGGAGGACTCCTTTCTCACGCAACATACCTACCAGAACATAATCGTACCACATGAACCCGAAGCCGCATCCAATCAAATTAATCAGGGCCCCAAAGGAACACTTCTAGAAGTATTGGTGCTTTCTCGAATCGCTCGATTACATTGTTGTTTTTAATATTATAATAACCCCCTCGCCGAGGAACCACTGGATTCCCTACCTAATCAACAAGCCACGACATCATCAAGAACCTCTATAATTCCCTAATCACTATTCCAACATCAGACGACTCATATTCTTAATTCTTTATTCTTTTCACAATGGAATTCCCTAATGACGGCAGTTCCATCTTTCACCGATTCCAAGCCGCCTTCGTCCATGACGGGCAAGGGCAGCTGCTATACTGCACCGGGCCGCAGAAAGCCTGCGTGCAGCAGCACTGGGCCTCGTCCATCAGCCACAGCCTCCCCAGCCAGAAGTTCCAGACGGCAAGAGAAACGACAACGGCACCAAGCGAAAATGTGTTCGCAAATCTCGACGGGCCGTTTCAGGGCTCAAAGCTCTATGAGATGCAACAGAGCGGTTCACACACGATGGCGGGCTTCATCATCGACGCCGCCGCTACTTCTCAACAAAACGCAGCCAGCGCACAATTTGATGACTTTTTCGTTCAACTACTCTTAGACCAAGCCGACTTTGCCATCCGCGACCATGAGCGGATGAAGTGTGGTGCTTCTACAGCCTCTCTAACGGACGCCACATACGAGATTGTCAGCCTGTTTGATAGCTTTCTCAGGTATCAGGGCAAGGACGACCAGTGGGAAGCGAGCGGCAAGGCGTATTTCACGGAGCGTGTTCGACACTTCACCTCGCAGCAGGCCAAAATCGAACTCTGTCTTCCTGCGTTCCCGTGTAAATCGTCAAATACCAACAAGGTCCTTGGAAAAGCGCCTGACCGGGGGGAGCAGCTCGCTCTGGAGCGGCTTCACGAGTTTGTAGAGGCTATTGAGAGGGTGTATGAGCCGGGTGCCAAGATGTGGATTATCAGTGACGGTCACGTCTTTAGCGATTGCAGTAAGTCCAACAAAAGCAATGGGAGGGCGTGAAAAAGCAATTTTCCGTGGCTCACACAACTGACATCCCTCACTTAGTCGGAGTCGACGATGAAGATGTCGATGTGTACGGCGAGCAGTTGAAGGAGATGAACCGTACAGTCGGCATGAGCAAAGGCAACACTGACAGAATCGGCTTCAAGTCGCTCGTTGACCTGTTCGAACTCAACGAGTCAAAGTCACAGCACAAGCTCTCGTCTCTGTCAGAGGATCTCAACATCCCCAGCATAGAGCACCACGTTGAGACGAAGCTGACTCTCGAGGCCGAGCTCTGCAGACGGATCCTCATGGCGGCCTGCCAGCCCCAGGAGTCTGCGGTGCGAGCCAAGATCAAGTCGCAGAACCCGGCTATCCTGGCTCTGTATCGCGGGTTCTCGAGGTTCATGCTGGAGGACCTCGAGCTTCACCCTTTCACTCTGGGCATGACGCGAAGTCAGAGGAAGAAGTTGTCGCCCAAGGTGGCGTTTGAGATGATCATGGTAAGCTTGAATTGCTGCACCAATGATGTTACGTCGTGGTTCCCCTTTTGTCTCAGATTGCTGACTATACGAAATAGAGGAACCAAGCATACTCTAACCTAGTCGAGTTGCTTCTTCCTAATCACGTCCGTCTCTCTATCCATGCGTACGTTCTACTCCAAATAATTCTCTTTACGCCTTCATGCTTGAGTCTAATAACTCTTTATCTAATAGCCACAACAACGCCGGTCCTAAATTTGGCATTCAACTCTTTGACCCCGCCGTCGTCCGCGCCGTCGAGGGCCTCTCACCGGACGGGACGCCGATGACCTCCCGTGACCTGCTGCATATCCCGACGCCGTGGCACAACTGTGTCGTCGAGGTGGAGGGCAGCCCCTATCTCCTCGTGACCAAGGCCAGTGTCCCGCGCCAGGCAGTCAGCTTGGGCGCCGTGACCGGTGAAGTCTCTACCAAGAATGCGCCCTGCTTCGTCCTCCGGCCGAAGAAAAGTGGCCCTGCAGCTTCTAAGGGGAGTAACGAGGAAAAAAAAGAAATGGAACAGGAAGAAGTCGTCGTGGCGCCTGTTGCACAGAAACCTGTCGTGACCCCTGCACCGGTCCCAACTCAGAGGCCAAGGGTTGCTGCAAAGGGAAAGGGGCGATTCGACTGGGTTCGGAGGCTGGCTGCGTTCCCAGTCATCGGCTGGCTGGGCATGATTTTCTATCACCGCTTTGTGGAGACGTTTGTTTGAAAATGGGGTATGAATAAAGATAATGGAGTACCTACAACTTGGAGCATGTGAATTGGGCAAATGGGACACTGGGGTGTTATATCAGGCGAATTTTTGTTTAGGTCGATTTTTTGTTTTTTTAACGAAAATGTCTAATCTTCAATCAATCATACTTCAAACAATACTTGCTCATGTCTCTCTACTTATTCCCTGTTGCTGGATCCAGGTTTAGTTTGTCAATGTCACTATACTTGATCAGGATTTCAAGGGTCTTGAGCAAATTACCCAATCCGGTAATGTTCTCAAAAGAGCGCGCCAAGAAGCTCAAGCTGCATCCTCCTTCGAAGAAAACACTCGATCCTTACTAGCAGCGGATCTGGCCCGATGAGATATGTCACCGTAGAGGATTCAACGGGTTGGTAGATCGAATATATCAGTGAGCAACTTTTTGGAAAACATTTCGCCAATCAGATTGTTGCACAACATCAAGGTCCTACCCTAACCCCGGCTCACGAATGACGGACGGGATGGTAGACGCGCATGTAGGGCAAACTGCCAATAAGGCCACCCTTCTGCGGATTCTGTTTCCGGAAATGTTTAGATGAAGTGCTAGGGATGAGTTCCCGGGACATGAGGTTGATGGCCCCTCTTCCCTGTGCCACGGTGAGGCGTGTAAGCATGAGAGGACGTCCGAGCCCGTGTCACGATATAAGCTTGCTCTTCCCCGGATAGACGTGTCACTGTGTAGTAAAGAGAAGCATTACTAGGTCTCTATATCGTTGTTGGATCGGCCGGTATTGACACATTATCGCATTTCTTCGCCAGGATGCTGCTCTCCCATGCTTTGTCTCGACATTGTATCTCCGTGATTGGCCTCTTGTTGGTGTATCTCGTCGCGATGGCCACAGCACACAATGAAACGCAGACCTCTACCAAGGTCAGAGCGTGTAAGTGGTCCTGTTTGCTCTACGATTTGGATTCTGAAAACCTCAGTGTACTAGTCTGCATGGCCTCAGTATTGACAAAGTCACCAAAGGCATCCCTCGCCCTTCGACGACCAGTGCATCATCAACTCCTACATCCACACCAAACCCTCTTCCAAGAAACTTTGGCATGATCATCAACCGGGCCTTTGAGATGCTCGACGTCTTTGGCCCCCTCGACGCCCTCGGGCTGCTGGCCAAAAACCACCAAATGAACTTGTATCTCATCTCTGAGGCAATGGACCCCGTCAGCGTCGAGCCCGTTTCCGCTGCCATGAATGCAAAGAACTCGAGTTTCGTAAGTGACGACCTCCTTGCTCTTTTCCCTATTTCCTGGGTTCGAGTCACTTCTCCCCTCTTTCGACGGAGCATCAGCTTCCGCGCCGAGTTTACGGTCACCCAGTGCTGACGTGAACGCCCTCCGCTGGACGCACAGTTCCCCAAAATCCTCCCAACACACACATACGCGACAGCACCAAAGGACATTGAAGTCCTCATGGTCCCGGGCGGCCTCTGGACGCGCTCGCCCAACCTCAACGCCACAATCGCCTACATCAAGACGACCTACCCGAACCTGCGCTACCTCGTCTCCATCTGCACCGGCGCCTCCGTCGTGGCCCGCGCCGGCGTGCTCGACGGCCGCCGCGCGACGACGAACAAGGCCTCGTGGGCGAGCACCGTCGTCCACGGGCCGCGGACCGAGTGGGTGGCGAAAGCGCGGTGGGTCGTCGACGGCAACGTGTGGACTTCGTCGGGGGTGTCTGCGGGCATCGACGCGACGCTGGCTTTTATCGAAGAGGTGTATGGTGGTGAGGAGGCGGCGTCGATTGCGGATTTGATGGAGTATGAGAGGCATACGGATGCGAGCTGGGATCCTTTCGCTGAGAAGTTTAATGTTACGGATTCGGCATGAGATTAAGAATTGGAAATTGGGTTTGTCCTTATTCATGAGGTGCGAGAAACTTTTGTGTGGGGAAGGGAATTATAACTAGAAATGTAATTAGACTCTGATAATGAGACTCTGTAATTACCTACAACTTCTGATGTGGACGGTGAGTCCAGCAAGTTAGGAAGGGACATAGAAAGGGTCAATCACTAAAGTAGAAACGAAATTGTTCTTGAATAAGAAAAATACTCAATCTTCTTTTCTCTGATTGGGATTATCCACTTGATGCGTTTTGTAATTTAAGTTCTCTACAAGATCCAAGGGAAGCTTCGTTAGTCTTCGCAACTCAGTACTGCCAAATTTCCAAGACTCTGGACATTGAGTTATAGAGTATAACAGTATCAGAGACTCTTCAATCTCGTAGTCTAGTGAGCAACTTTACTCATGGAAATATTTTCTAGTGTCATTTACTATTCAGTGAAAATCGGTATCACTTATTGAGAAGAACTCCGCGAGCAATCTTTTATACCGGTTGACAATCTTGATGGCAGTGTTCAAACTAATGTAGTCTAAAAATGTTTCTCTCATCTCCAACCGAATAAAATGTCCCCCAGGGTAAATGATGTTCAAGAGAAGCTTGCAGTAATCTTCTCAGAAGTATAAAACGATTGCCAATCAGACTCCAGCGCTCCCCTTGTCGTCTGTTTCCTATTCAGACTCAACCTCTGCAACCAAGCAACAAGAAGCTAGCACTAGGACTCTAGCTGGAAGTGCTTTTTTTTTTTTGAACAGAAAACATGCAGACGCAAGTCGTCACAAGAAATAATGGCTAACTACAAGGAAGTTAGGAACGTTCTGCATTGTGCTCCTATGATTGTGGATTGTATCCCAACTGGTCAAAATAGTCAACTCATGATTAATAAACTCCTGGACCTGTATCTTGAAAACGACACCATCTATCAACCATGCAATATGTACTTTGAATGGTTTTGTCTACTATCCGCTCCATTCGCGCTAACTACTCACGTGGGCAGCTCTACATGCGAGTTTTCCTACATCATCCACCCCGATTCCCGCTATCAAACATTGAAGTAAACAAATAACAACTGCCGAATAACCAAGTCCGCTTGTGTAACGTGAGAAAACAACACGTGCTAGACGACTCATCTTTCTCCCCACATGTCTGACCCTCAAACAACTCGCCGCGTGGTATTCGATCGTACGTCCATTGCTGTGTTCCATTCCTTGTTCTCCAGTCCTACAAAAGGTTCCACATCCTGCTACTACATTATTAGTTTTGGTACGAGTAGCATTGCACAGAAACCACCAGCAGGATCTGGAACAACCGCCTGAAAAAGGCCGACAGGCAACCCAAAAGCAGAGGCAGCAGAAGCAGCAGCAGAAGCAGTAGTCGTACCTGGTAAACAGTAAACTGCGGCCGCAGAAGGTCCCAACTCCTGTAAGACGTGAAGCAAGCTAGTCTCAGTTGTATTGCTATTTACGTTCCGCTCACCCCATTCTCACGTTCCACAAATGTCGTGTCTCTAGCGCCTCTCTCACCTGAGCTTGAACAGGGCATACTTTATATCCGGACATGCTTAGTAGAAGAACGTTATGAACCGTCCCTAGTGCCGTTGCGTTAATGAATGTACGGAATCCTCTGCAGATGCGACGGTAACAATCTTGGGAGTCTTGGACATTTGGGAAATCAGAGACATCTCCAAGGAATTCAAGAAAAAGAGGGTATTCGTCCATATCGAGCAAAAGTTACGAGAAGTGTCTGCCATGTGTGTGGGGGTCCTACAGCTACGTGCGTATCTCCAGACGAGGCATGAGTTCCTTGGTTCCTTCGAGAACATATGGAGCCTGTGTGTTTTAATCTTCTTCCCTGTCTGGTCCCTTTTGTAATTGTTTGGTATCCGTACGTACATACATAGACGAGAGGAAGAGTGTGTGCGAGAGAGAGAGAGAGGGGGGAGAGCGGATTTGGGCCATTAGGATCGCACGCGCGGGATGCAACTGTCCCCATTTGCTTTTTCCTGCAGCCCGGTGGGAAGCCGAAGACGTGCAGCGCAGAGCACAAATGGACGTGCGCAGCATATTGAAATTTCCCCAAAATAAGAGATGGGGATGGATTGCCGGGCTGCATCATCACAGCTGCAAATGCACACCATCGGATCACCGTGACGGACCCCTTCTTTCTTCACCGCCTCCGTCTTCAAGTGCCCGCACGCCGGGGGAAGGGTCCGGAGGAGGGAGGAGCCGGCAATCTCGCGCCCCTCGCCGCGAGCAAGCGAGTTGGGCTTGTGGCTGGCGGCTCAACAGAAGCTTCTTGGTGAAGGCCTCGTTTAGAGGTGCATTGTGGCACATTTCCGTTGCCCGTTACGGTGCAGCAGCGTCGATGTACAGATATGGAACCCGCTGATCCAGTCCAATCCTCCATCTTCTCGGCCGCAAAGCTAGTGAACAATTGGATGTGAACCCTTGACCGCCCCGACCGTCGACATTCGCCCTGCGTGGCGCCAACACACTTCTTAATCTTGCCAGAGTTGCGCTATCCGTCTTTCGTGATAGTTCAGGGTGGCGCGCGGCAGGGCATGCGACTTTGACAGGCTTCCCGGAGGCCCATCCCGCTAGGCGTCCCATCATCGACGTTGCATACCGTTATTTACTAGGAGAGATTAGATGATGGCGAAAGCAACTCAGGGCGACTGGGGGGAGCCAAGCCAAGGTGCAAGGGGAACACGAGGGGTGAAGAGCTGCCGCCACGATGCGACCACGAGACATGCGGCAAGCAAGGTGCTGGCAGTGGCAGGGCGGCGGGGGTCAGGGGTGAATATCTCCCGGGACGTTTCATTGCGTCGACGGCGCGCATGACGAAAGGATGACTCCGTAGGGTTGAGGTGTATTTGTAGCAGCGTAATAAGACCAACGGCGGAAGCACGAGTTGCATCTCCCCGTGCCGGGGCCGGGGGGAAGAGAGGCGCCGGGTCAACGGCTACGGCCGCAGACTAATCGAGGCGATGCAATGCGGCTGCACGAAGCGAGAGAGGAGAGGGCGTCTGAGTTTCAACGTCGTTCTATCGTTGCCGGGCCCCCGGGGAAAGGTAGTAGGCTTGGGAGTGGAAGGATGCATCCTGCTAGTTCAGGGGACCCAGAGATACGGCCGGAACACTTGCAGGGCCCCTCTTGTTGAAAGGAGGAGTCATTGGCCCGCGAAAAAGGTCACCCACGCCCCCCTCTCCATCTAACCTCCATGAAGCGTCGAGACGAAGAGGATATTGTCACCGTTTTGGACTTCGTACGCCTCCTCTCCTTCGAGCTCCCAGTCCGCGTCATTGATGAGGGCAAGGATGCCAGGGCGACTAGAGAGACCTCATTAGCGTTGCATTCGATATAGCTACTCTGCACGTTCATCGCAGATTTTGAGAAAGACTCCAGAGTGACGATATACGGCGTGCATAGGACAGGACGTTGGGGTGAGAATAGGAGAAACAGAGAGCCAGGCGAGGCCGAAATGAAGATATGCCCAAGGATGGAGACGGCGCGTGGGTGATGCGACTCTAAGACGTACAGATGACCATCTAGGACGAAAAGCTCCTGTCTGGAGTCCTTCATCGTGTTCTCGCAGAGATACTTGATGAGAAAGGCAATAGTTGCGGGCTTGCCGTCCTTGTTCACCGCCGGGATGGAGAGAGCGTGACGCCGCTGATCAGAGAAGAGCATCTCCAGGCCGCCGCTGCCCACCAGGTACCACGTCAGTTATGCATTCGTTCCTGAATGATCTATGCAAGATGCAAATAAAATCGTCCTCGGATCGACCCCGTCAGCCTGCGTAGAAAGGTCTCAGGGCAAAGTCCGGGAGACGGGACCGGTCCAGAAGAAACACCTTGCTTGAGCCACAGGATGGAATAGAAGAGAGATGAGAGTACAGAGAGGTGAGCGGAGAATGGAGACTCACGAGAACTCGACGACGACGGCGATCTTCTCCCCCGCATCTGCAGCTTCTGCGGTCATTTCTTTTCTTTTGCGAGGCTTGGTACTATAAATCTCCCACGATACCCAAAGTGCCGGCAGCTGCGAGACGTCGGAGAATAGATGAAGAATGTGAGATGTAATGGTAATAAAGTTTGTTTGCTTGTCAGATTGAAGCGCGGCACGGCACGGACAAGTGTGAGAAAGATGCGATGGAAGGATGGATGGATGGCACGTCAGGCGTCTGTAAGGCACTGGGTACCTTACCTAGGTAGGTACACTGTCAAGTGTTGGGGAGGGACGAAGGCCCTGAGCAGGCGGGCATCACTGGATCAGGTAGTCGGGCTAGGCGCCCCGATGGCAAGCGCAAGCCTCTACCGGTTACCTGTGGAGCCAACGGTGCGGCGGCTCAAGCGCTGTAAGGCGGGCAGGCAAACAGGCGCCCCCCGAGAGATGCCCCGCCCCCACTAAGAAATTTTCAACTTCACCTCTTGACTGTGAGCCGTGAGCCAATCACATTGCCGCATTTTGTCAACCCTCAGAGTCACTCCTCGACGCAGCATCTCCAAGCGACGACGAAGGAGACGAAGAGAAAGAGACAAGATGGCTGGCACACAGCCCTCAATAGAGTATCTGTCAACAGGAGCCAACAGGCAGACTGCCGTCGCCGACTGGAGCCCATGTGGTCTTCTTGCCTTTGGCGCTGACTGCAACATTGCCTTGTGGGCGCCGTCTGTAAGCCCTTCTCCCAGTCCGCTGCTCTACAACCTGATGCTGATGATTCATAAATCAGTCACAAAATGCAGAGGGCATCACAACTCTCCTGAGTGGGCACAAGGAGGTTGTCAAAGCAGTCAAATTTTTGCCCCAAGTGGACGGCGAAGACCGCAAGCTCCTCATCAGTGGCTCAGATGACCAAACACTCAAGATCTGGGCAGTGGACCCAAAGACGAACCAAGGGGAGTGCATTCAGACGATACACAATCATTCGGCACCCGTGAACTGTATCGCCATCCTGCGGTCCAAGGGGACCCATAAGCAGGTTCTTCTGGCTTCAGGGGCTGCCGACGCAACCATCAAGATCTGGAAGCTTGACAGCAGTCAGCTACAGCTGCGCCAGACTATCAAAACCGCCCCCAAGTACTTTCTCCTATGCTTGGCTCTCACAGCGCTCGACGAGGCCGAAGATGTGTTTGTCTTGGCCGCAGCAGGAACAAAAACGTTTGTGCAAATATTCGTCGCCGCTGCTGACGATGAGACCGTCGACTTCAAGCTCCAGGCTACTCTATCGGGCCACGAAGGCTGGATACGATCCCTGGAGTTCACGTGGGAGAAGACGGAGGCGAATAGTGACCTGCTCCTCGCCTCGGCTAGTCAAGACAAGTATGTCAGACTATGGCGTCTGCACTTGGGCAAGGAATTGCCGTCACTCGCCGCGGAAGGCTCAGATCCTCTAAGCGGTGCCTATCTGCCGGGCAAGTCTCCCTCAAATAAGGCCCACCGGCTTCAGTCCGCCGGCAAGGACTTCTCCATCACCTTCGAGGCCCTCCTCCTCGGCCACGAAGACTGGATCTACAGCGCAAAGTGGTTCACTAGCCGTGAATGCAAGCTTCAGCTGCTTTCCACTTCCGCAGACAACTCTCTCGCCATGTGGGAGGCCGACAGCACCTCCGGTATCTGGGTCAGCATGGTCAGGCTAGGCGAGATCAGCAGAGAGAAGGGCGCGACGACGGCGACGGGCAGCATCGGCGGCTTTTGGACAGGTCTCTGGGCACCCGACGGCAAGTCCGTCGTCTGCCTGGGCAGGACGGGCAGCTGGCGCCGCTGGGTTTACGACGATGAGCGTGATCAGTGGAGGAACGCCATCGCCGTCAGTGGCCACACTAGAACCGTCACGGGCATCGCGTGGTCCCGCGATGGGGATTATCTCATGTCCACGAGTTCGGATCAGACAACACGTCTCCACGCCCGTTGGAAACGCGGTGATGCCGTCATTGGCGCCCGCTCGTGGCATGAGATGTCCCGTCCCCAGATCCACGGCTACGACCTCAACTGTATCGACACTTTGGGCGCCTCCCAGTTCGTCTCAGGCGCCGACGAGAAGCTCATGCGCGTCTTCAGCGAGCCGCGCGCCGTCGCCAAGATGCTCCAGACCCTGGGCGGGATCGAGAGCGGCGCACCCGCGGAATCTATGCCAGATGGCGCCAACATGCCCGTGCTAGGCCTCTCCAATAAGGCCATCGACGCCGTCGACGACGACCAGGAAGTCCAAGCCGACGATCAGTACGACCGCGAAGCCGTCGACCCGGCGACCGTTGTCCGCAAGTCCATGCTCGACATTGACCACCCGCCCTTTGAAGAGTCTCTTTCGCGGCACACCCTCTGGCCGGAGACGGAGAAGCTTTACGGCCATGGCTACGAAATCTCCTGTCTGGCCGCCAGCCACGACGGCAAGCTCATCGCTAGCGCCTGCAAGGCGAGCTCTCTCAACCATGCTGTCATCCGCGTCTTTGAGACGGAGCGCTGGACCGAGGTCAGGCCACCGCTGGCGGCGCACACTCTGACCGCCACGAGGCTGCGGTTCTCCTCGGACGACCGCTTCCTCCTCAGCGTGGGCAGAGACCGACAGTGGGCCGTCTTCGAGCGTGGAAGTGACGGGCAGCAGTATTCCCTCCTTCAGGCGAACCCCAAGGGCCACACGCGCATGATTCTCGACGCCGCGTGGGCGCCTCTGTCGACGAGTGATGGTAGCAGCAGTAGGGTGTTTGTTACGGCGGGACGTGACAAGAACGCCAAGGTTTGGGTTGGCAAAGAGGCCGCAAAGGATGAGCAAGGCGTCAGCAAGATCGAGTTCACGTTAGCTTCGAGTATTGCCTTTGACGGGCCCGTCACGGCTGTCGACTTCCTCGGCAGACGAGGTGCCGGTGGCGAGCTCGCCCTTGCCGTCGGCACCGAGTCTGGCAAGATCTCTCTTTGCACGCTGACCCCTGAGACGTTCCAGCCGGCCGGCACACTCCAGCTTTCGTCGAGGTAAGTTTCCCCTTGTCACTCTGTTTAACGTAACTTGAACATCGCAGCTGACCTCTCACCTCGAAGCCTATGCCTCCCGAAACCCGTTTCGCAACTCGCATGGCGACCATCAAAGAGCGATAGCAGCACAGACGAATTAGGCATCGCAGGTGAAGACAGTTCCTTGCGGGTATACAGCTTCACAGGACTAGGGGCGCCGTCCAAGTCCGACGAATGAATGAAATGAATTCGACGTTTTGAAGCACACGCGTTCCTACTCCAGTAGACGCTCAAAAGATCTTCTAGAACCGAGTCCTATGCATGCATGTATGGATATGAATTAAAAGACACGCGTGGCCGCATGTGATGCGAGTTTATAGTATGTTAATGTATATGCCTTTTCGTATCTGAACCGGAACTGAGCTTGGTTCATATCAAAAAGAAACTCCGAATGAAACGCCCGCACCAGAAGCGAATAAACGACACTTCGCGCGCGCAACATGCGACACGCCCTTCGAGCTCTTCATCGGGCGGTCTGGTCGTCCATGTTTCGCCATTAAGATCCTCCTCTCCCACTCCCTCGTTCGTTCTCTTACCCTCCCTTCTTTTCCCATTCGTTCATTCGGCATGCATCGTTGTCATGTCATAGAAAATTGTCGGCTGGCCTGCGTGCGTGCGTGGCGAGGAACGCAGGAACTTCTCTTCCATGAAAGGAAAATCTTTACAACTCCTTGACGAGCTCGACAGTCTGCTGAGCCAGCGCGGCCGCAGTGGTACCCGTCTTCTCGGCCATCAGCACGCTCTCGACTGCTGCCTTTGTGAACTCGACGGCGTCCACCACGGTGTCGACGACGGCGTCGATCGGGTCGCCGTGCATGTAGAACCAGGCGCGGCTCATGAGGAAGGCGATGTGCTGGGGTAGGTAGAGGACGGTGGCGATGATTGTCAAGCTGCTTAGGAGGAAGAGGACGGTGTCTGCAAGAAGGGAGTTGTTAGCCGGAGGGATTCTTCGTAGGGGAGGAAATGAGGTGGCGGCGGCGGTTTGTCGTCGCGAGATAGGTTCACGTACAAAAGATGAACTTTTCCAGGGGCGTAAAGATGTACACGCTGAAGGTGACCTCGATCTGGTACTGCTTCAGGTGCAGCCACTTGCTGAAGGACTGGAGAGCCGACATTTTGTTGTTTTCTCGTAAATTCCCAAATGAATGATCCAGGTTTTCTCTAAGGTTTAGGGGAGGAGGCTTCGCTCGCTTTGTTCTCGCGGCGTTTGACGGAGGTTGAAAGTCGCGGCGGCGGTCACGGGTAACCAAAAAAAGGAGGTGGTCGATTTCTCGAAGGGACGTTCGTTGCGGTAAGGATTAAAAGGCTCTACTCTGCCAATTCGTTTATAAATGCCGTGTTGACGTCCGTCGTTACGAGATCTCGAACAACCTCTGTAAAATCCGTCTTTTGAGGCGAAGAGGAGGCAGATCCAAGGGAAGTTTGCGGGTTGAGAAAAGGCGAACTCTCAGGATATCATCCGAGGACGGGGTCTGCGCGGGACGGGGGGGGAGGGAATCTTATCAGTGAAATTGGTGGCCCGCCCACGCGACAAAACAAGCAGCAGTGACTGAGCAAAGCACCACCGCCAAAAAGCTGTACCCGACAGATCCGCAGGGGAAGAAAGCACTGACGGGGAAAGGAGAGAAAGAAAGGTTCCACACTGCCAGCAAAGTAAAAGTGGGGGTTTAATCTACAGGTCGCCTTCCAGTAAAGAGTGAGTAGATTCAACCTCTCATTGGTCGCCTCACCTGCCCAAAAACTTCCGAACTAGCAGTTCAGCACAACTTCTCAACACCTGGACGCCTGGCTACCTACCTTAATCGTCATGCACCTCCCGTTCGGCCTCCAGCCGTCTGCCGGCTGCTGACACTCCACATCCGAACCGGCCCATCCTGGAAATACCGCCCGGCCCACCACGCGCGCCGTGAACGCAACGAACCTCGAACCTGGCGAAACCTCACCAGCAAGCCTCACCTCGATCCTCACCCATATCACCGCCAACACTCCGCAAACCCACGGACAATGGCCCGGCGCGCGCGATGCCTCCCCCTCTACCCCTTCTAACCCGTCTACCCCTCCTGGCGGGCGCATCCAACGCCAATGCCTTTATGCGCCGAGGCCTTGGTATGCCTACGACGGCGAGGCCGGCGCTGCTGCTGCTGCTGTCACTCCCATTGCCCCTCGTCGCCCTCTTCAGCGCATCTCCCTCCTCGTCGCTAAAGAGGCACCAGATGCCACCTCGGCCCCAACCCCCTCCAGACTCCGATATTGAGGAGTCCTACCTCAAAGGCAGCGGGCCGGGTGGCCAGAAGATTGTACGTGTAAAACCCACTGACCTGAGTCCTACCTTGGCCCCTTTGCTCGTCCCTTCTACCAACCCATGCAATGCAATGCGGCCGGCCCTCGAGCTTGATGCGACTCGATTTAGACCGCATGACTGACTAGGAGCTTCCCTCCCATCACGTTCTTTCTTGCTAACCACCCCACCTTTCCTACAGAACAAGACGAGCTCGGCCGTGCAGCTCAAACACATACCCACTGGCATAGTCGTCAAGTCCCAAGCCACCCGATCCCGATCCCAGAATCGCAAGATTGCCCGCGAAATCTTGGCCGAAAATATTGACAACTTGCAGAATGGCGACCAAAGTCGTGCCGCCATTGTTGGCGATGTGAAGCGCAAAAAGGCCGCCAGTGCATCCAAGAAGAGCAAGAGAAAATACCGCCAGCTTGAAGAGGAAAAAGCAAATAGTGAGGCGAGCGATGATGGAACTAGTGAAGAGGCCGTTCAAGACGAGACGAACGGCGACCCAAGCTCTGAGGAAGTAAAGACCTCCCTTACAGGTGATCCTGGCTCCACTGTACAAAGTACAAATACATAGTACCTCACATGACTTGTTCCCCTAGAGCAACATCTGTATCAATAGATCGGTCCATTTCTACTCCTGGCTAAAACATTCTCGTGAAATTATAACATCACTAAAAAAGCGAGTGTGCGAAACTCGGGAACAGTAAGCAAAGTGTATTGTATGATCGACCTCAGTTGCAGACGTATCCGCCCCTATACGCGCCCACGCGCACCCTGCTACAAAACAAGGACCAAATCTTTCTGGAGAAGGGTCGACCCAAACTTCTTGACCATGTCAACAACTTTTCGCCAATATAAGACCTGACTGCGGTATATGCAACGCCCTGGAGACCTTGCACCGGTCGTTGCCTCTTTGGAATCGATGTGTTTTCGGAAGGGCGAGAATGTGGTTCGGGAAGTAAGACGCTGTTTGTCATCAGTATTTACCGCATGCTTCCGTTTCGCTCCGCCGTCGACTTACCTTAGAAGCACTTGCGGTGGACAATGGAGGGACCGCTCTCGTCGTACTCCTGCTTGGAGATCCACATCTGCTGGAAGGTAGACAGGGAGGCCAAGATGGAACCACCGATCCAGACGGAGTACTTGCGCTCGGGGGGAGCGATGATCTTGACCTTCATGGAGGAAGGAGCAAGAGAAGTAATCTCCTTCTGCATACGGTCGGAGAGACCAGGGTACATGGTGGTACCACCAGACTGTAGATTCATTAGTTGCTGTAGCTAAATTCTGGGACCGCCGTAGAAAACATACCATGACAATGTTGCCGTACAGATCCTTACGGACATCGACATCGGACTTCATGATGGAGTTGAAGACGGTGACGTGGATGCCGCCAGACTCAAGACCAAGGACGGAAGGAGCGAACAGAGCCTCAGGAGCACGGAAACGCTCGTTGCCGATGGTGATGACCTGTCCGTCGGGAAGCTCGTAGGACTTCTCCAAGCTGGAGGACTGGGAAGCGGTCTGGAGCTCCTGCTCGAAGTCGAGGGCGACGTAGCAGAGCTTCTCCTTGATGTCACGAACGATTTCACGCTCGGCAGTGGTGGAGAAGGAGTAACCGCGCTCAGCGAGAATCTTCATGAGGTAGTCGGTCAAGTCACGACCAGCCATGTCGACACGGGCAATGGCCTGGGGAAGAGCGAAACCCTCGTAAATGGGGACAACGTGGGTGACACCGTCACCGGAGTCGAGGACGATACCGGTGGTACGACCGGAGGCGTACAGAGACAGGACGGCCTGGATAGAGACGTAGAACGCGGGGGCGTTGAAGGTCTCGAAGACGATCTGGGTCATCTTCTCTCTGTTGGACTTGGGGTTGATGGGGGCCTCAGTCAAGAGGACGGGGTGCTCCTCGGGGGCGACACGCAGCTCGTTGTAGAAGGTGTGATGCCAAATCTTCTCCATGTCATCCCAGTTGGTGACGACACCGTGCTCGATGGGGTAGCGGAGCGTCAGGATACCACGCTTCGACTGTGCCTCATCACCGACGTAGGAGTCCTTCTGGCCCATACCAATCATGATACTGTGCACGTGTTAGGTCGCGGCGCGGGAAGTGGCATTGCCGCAGCAAGAGAAAAACCTACCCATGGTGACGGGGGCGACCGACAATGGAGGCTGAGAGACGGTTAGAATCAGCATTCTCGAGTGTGGGTGACCGAAATCGTGTGCCCCTGACGGAGAAGATTGCTTTCTGCGGATGAGGGGGAACTTACGGAAGACAGCTCTGGGCGCATCGTCACCGGCGAAACCGGCCTTGCACATACCCGAACTGGAAACAAGTCAGAACCAAACTCCTTGTAGGATATATTGTATCGATGGATCATATGCCAATGGGTTATCGGGAGGGCTGACGATTGGCCAGATCCCTTTGAGGGCCCAGGAGGCGGAATGGTCGGTGAGACGGCGGGGAAGCTTACCCATTGTCGATAACGAGGGCGGCGACCTCCTCTGCAGAGATCCATGTTAGCAAGTGAGGCAGAAGAAGGACGAATATTGATGGACTCAAGCATCGCGACTCCGATGAGGCCAGGGGATGTGAGGCGGCGTCGGAGTCGTGGAGCAGGGAGTGAATTGCTGGCAGAGATGGAGATGGCGTCACGTACCTTCCATTTTGAATTAGGATGTGGGTGAGGACTGGAAAAATAGAAGAAAGATAGATGAAAACGAAGACAGCTCACTCGATTCCGGAATCGTAGGAGCGAGATGGAACTGGCAAAAGTCCTGAGCGGATGGCAAAGAACTTGGGAGAGGACGTCGTTGGGTGGTGAGGTCGAAAGTGGGAAAGGTTACGGGAAGATGAGAGGTAGTCGATTTTGGGTGGAGGAGGGGGGAAGAAGGAGAAGAGTGGGAATGGCAGGCACAGTGCGGTGAGCGCTGGCTTTGCCTCCTCGGCGTTTCGTTGGCTGCTGCGATTTGTCTGGCGGGCCAGGTTTCGATGTCAGAAAGCAGCTGGAGACCTAACCCGACTTGTGGGTGAGCAAATGGACGTGGTGAGGTGGGCAGCAGGCTGGGCAGGAGCGTAAGGTAGAACAGGTGGCAGAAAGTGGCAGCGCCGCCCCGGGGATTGAGTTGCCGCTTTAACAAAGGAATGAGAAACCCCATTAGGAGCATTGGGAGGCTGCGCGTTCTCTGTCTCTCTCTCTCTCTCTCTCACTCTCGCCTCTTTCTCCCCCGTCCTCTTCGGGGATGGCCCGTGCTTTTGCTCCTTTGCTGCTCGGGGGGGCTAACTGCGTAGGACTGGCAAAGTAGTGTGGTGGGGTACGGGAGGGAACACACTTCACTCACTCACCCTTTTTTTTTTGGTGATACTGGGGTGCGAAGGCAAAGAGGAACCTCTGATATTGCAGAGGAGATGCGCGACCCTCCGACTTTCCGTATCGTCTTCTTCTCTCCGGCTTGGACCGCTGATTCCGGTGGCTAAAGTCGAATTGGGGGTCGTGCCTTCAATTCGGTCTGGGTGCTGGTGGGCAATGCGAATATCCTGTCGATAATCGGATAAATACACTTTTACTGAATTCTCGAGGCAGGTACTGAATCCGAACGAATTGTTCCTCGGTCTTTCCTTACTGTACTCAATACAGAGAAGATACATACCAACAAGAAGCCCGTCAGTCTCCGTGCCTTATCTATCACTTCAAGCCACCAGGCAGTGACAATTCAAACAAAGAGCATTCGTCACCCTATCCGTCAGTCGCCATCTGCTCTCCAGGCAGCTTGAAACCGACGGTGAGAGGTGCTCACCTAATACCCTTCAGCTCTCCACGGCCTCGACCACGGACCAATCGAGCCAAGCCACGGGCCCTACAGTGCGCAATTATCAATCCGACTGTGACGCCTCTATTATCTTCAAGGCCATCCCCACATCCACCACCTGCACGCACGCTACGGTCTAAATGAGAATACAAGGTTGACCCAGGCCAAGAGCATGGGATCATGGGAGCCAGCCTGGCCGAGATCATCTCGCGCCGGAGAGCAGTTGGACAGGGAGGACAGCATTGCGGCACGGCAGATAGCTCACACAGTATCGCCAATCCATCCCATCTCCTCATGGACTGTGGAACGGAGGGCCGCTCCTCGACGCCCACGTGAGACTCTCAACAAGATTCCCGCCGCGGCCGCCTGGTTCATGCTCGATGGCGGCGGGCGGATTTGCGCCAGCAAACCGCATGCCAGCCGTCCTATTGCTCGTCCATTCGCCCACGAGTCGTACGTCATCTTGTTCCGTAAGCAGCAAAGACACGGGCAAAGGTGCCAAGCAGGCATAGGCAATCTATTTTGGTTCACAGCACTATTACCTGCCTCCTCCCCGTCGTCTGCATAGCATAGATAGCATGTAGGGACCGCGGAAGCAAAGGCGGTGACAAACGGATACGGAAGCACAGCAGACGGACCAGGCAGTCTGGCAGATACATCCAGGCACCCCGAAGCCGACACCACCGAACGACGGGCCTACCAAGCTGCCTGCTGCAAGGGCTGTACTCTCCTGGACACGGCTCGATGGGGTCGCGGCTCTGGTGGTTCAAATTGCGTACCCGCGTATGGACGCCTTTTGCGGGAACGAGAGCCCGGGGTCCTAGGGGGCTGATTGGCATGGGATTTTCGGATGCCAGCCTCGCATATCGCATCTCGCATACAACCTCTGGGCTGGAACCTCGTTCACGGGCTCGCTCTCGTCTTCGACATGTACCTGCCTATGCGTGCTGTGTCCAGAAACTGTGTTTCGAGCTTTGTGTGGAAAGCCGAACAAGAAACAGCGCGGGCGACAACTACACGCCGTGCTACGTTTCCAGTGTGGCTGAGCTGGGAGCTCCGGGTTGCCGGGCGGCGTCTCCGTTGATCGGGTTCTTTTAGCACAGATCGGATAAGAGAATACGGCGGAAGCTGTAACCTGTCATCTGCGGCGAGGACGCTATGTCTGATTGCTGCATCCTGTCAAGCGAGGCATGCAATATGGAAATGAACGACCAGGAAGGCTTTCAGACGGTGGAGGGATGCAAGGCTGAGAAGCCTGGGGTAATTCAAAGCTGGATATAGCAAATTCGAGTTGCCAGGTCTCGTGTGCTTCAGTGACTTCATCGCTGAAAGGTTGCTCAGCTCAGCGTCGCAATATCGTAGCTTGGGTACCTCAAGGAAGCTCTGTCCATGGCCACCTCGAGTTAAAGCGGCAATGAGGGGCAACTCATTCCATGGTGGGGCAGTTGGAACTTTTTTTTTGGTTCACGTCTCTTTACCAGCCACCTCACTACAGCAGGAGACTGTCTCCGACCCTTCCCTCGACGAGTCCAAGACTCCCGGATCCAGAGTCCGGGAGCGTATCCAATGTTTGACTGGCAGATGAATTGCCAACTCAGCCCATTGCATGATCCCATTGTTGGGCTGTAAGAGATTCGCTGGCCGTAATTCTCTCTGCCCAAGTTTCAAAAGACTTGAGCTGCATAAACGACGCATTGAGCTGGCCTTGATCAGGGCTCCTCACGTGAGATCGGCGCTAGCCCACTTTCGATCATTGGCAAGCTTCTTGAAGGTTCCAGAAAAAGGTAGCAAATCAGAAGCAGCCAGTCAGAGCGGGAAGTGGCTCTTGGTGATGGAGAACTTTTTGATGTTGGTGAGAGTTCAGGTGCGAGTGAGTGACAGACTGGGAGTTGATAGTAAACAAACTTTACACATCAACACAATACACACTTTTCGAGTTTCTCATTCAAACTTGCGACCAGTTGAAGTAAACCATCAAGAGGTTTTATTGTTCCAAGAAATTACTTCAAACTACTACACCTCCAAAAACTCACCACAAACTATTAATCATGGGTGACAAGCACCTCAACGAGCTCCTCAAATGGAGTATCGAAAACCAGGAAACCGGCGGCGAGAACGGCGCTTCAGCACCTGCCGACGCCACCGCCGTGAGAGCGCCCGCCAGCACCCTCAACCCCGAGGCCATCGCAGCCCTCTTCGGCAACGGCCCCAGCGACGCCGAGCTCATGAAGCTCTCCATGGAGGCAATCACCTCCCCGGACCCGGAAATCACCCTCGACAACAAGCTCATCGCCTTTGACAACTTTGAGCAGCTCATTGAGAACCTCGACAACGCGAACAACATTGCCAACCTCGGCCTCTGGACCCCGCTGCTCTCCTGCCTCGAGCACGAGGCCCACGAGCTGCGTCGCATGGCCGCCTGGTGCGTCGGCACCGCCGTCCAGAATAACCTGCCCAGCCAGGAGCGCCTGCTTGCCGTGGGCGGCATCCCGCCCCTCGTGGCGCTTGCGACCAAGGACGGCGAGGAGGAGGCTGTTAGGAGGAAGGCCGTCTACGCGCTCAGCTCTGCCGTGAGGAACTACCAGCCCGGCGCCGATGTCCTTACGGACGAGCTGCAAAAGAAGGGCCTGCGTAACGGCAAGGTTGATGCTGAGAACATGGATGATATTGATGAGATTATGAATGCGCTCAAGGCCAAGATTGCGGCATAAGAAAAGGAAAAAGGGGAAATCCAAGAGGAAAATAGGGCTTGGGGAGGGTTCGGTATGGTTAACTTGCATGGACGGCGTTTCGGCGGGTGGTTCGGCATGAGGGTTCTTTTGACGTACCTACGGGACGACGACCAAAAGAAACATGGGATTATGGTATTAGATGATTACTACCGCATAAGATGAACCAGGAACATGATCACATAATTTTGGCACAAAGTACTTCTCAAGAGTGACCGTATCTGTTGGTACATTCATATACAGGCTTTCTAAATGTGTTGATATCGTACAAACGGGATACCCCTTCCCAGCAATGTCCCCCTTTTTAATCCTTAAACTTTCCGTAGAAAGGAAGACCAAGAGCCTGCATCAGAAGCCTGGCTTGGCGGTTCGATGTGGCGCTCGTGTGGATGAAAATATGACAACCTGGGAGGAGCTACAGAGACTCGTCAGCATCGTGGTCACAAGATATAGGCAGACGGAATATCTCACCTTGGCAGGGTACATGTCGTAGTTGATCTGGAGCTCGGGAAACCAGACTAGGTCATCGGGCCTCAGACCGATACCGATACCACCGTTTCCGTCACCAGTAGTCGCATTGACACCGGGCCAGTCCTTGATCTTGGGCAGGACGAGGTTGATCAGCTTGTCAACGAACTCGTACGCCTGGGGACCGTGCATGGTTGTCTTGACACCAGTCTTATCGCCCTCGCGGATTTTCCACTGGATGACGTTGTTCTTGGTCTTGGTGACCTCGGGGACGTTGCCGCTGATGGACTGGATGACCGAACGGGCGACCTGGAGCGTTCCCGGCGCCTTGGCGGCCGAGGGGATGAAGGTGTGCAGCGATACGGCCAAGATTTCGGGAACGGACCGGCAGTCGATATTCTTCTCCAGCACGTCGAGCTTACTTCCACCTCTGGGTCCGCGAAGGGGACGGTTCTTGTTGTACGGCGAGGAGTCGTCCCACGCCCTTAAACGCTCCCGTACCGGGGGGTCTGGTGTACCCGGGGGCTTGTGAAGGTAGGTCATCGTAAGCAGATCGGCGGCGATGGTCGTATCGTACGTTTGGCGCAGTCTAGGGAGGTTGAAGGGTCCAGGAACGAAGTCGCGGGCTGTGGGATCGGTGGAGGGCGGTGATTGAATCGGGTGAAGAGGTCCTCTGTCGTACTTAGGGGGGTGGTATTGGTATCTGTCGCCTCGTCAATTAGCCTTCCGCTTCAAGCTGTAGTTGAGTTTTTCAGTGCGCACCTGTTTCCGGGAAGCTGCTGCGGTCTGTCAGACAAGCGCTTCGCCGTGTTGAAAGCTTGGATGGCAGCATCGTCAGGGCCAGGCGCAGCCAGGGACGAGGTCTCAAGATCAGGGAACTGAGCCTCTGCGGCAGCGGTAGATTCGCATCGCCGGCCGACAAGAGGGGTCAACTTCCAAGGCGAGCGCTGTCTGCAGACAAACCGAGTTAATCGGGAGCTTTCCCGTAGAGTGGCCATGGCTAGTCGTTCAACTGTGACGCAACCTAACACGTCTGTAAGGGTAAGTCGCGATGCTCGAAATTTCAATCTCGAAATGCTCAGTTCGGCCCGTGCCACTTGTGGCTGGTGTACTGTTTTTTAAAGTGGATCTTCCGGCTCAGGTCTGAGAACAAAGTGTGGCTTGACCTTTCTGCAGCTTAAAGCCTGGATCTCCAGGCGGTAGGACGTAGAGTGACATGGGAATGTCACTCGGGGGCCGTCGGAGCGAACGTGACCAGCAACCTCCGGACTTTCGGGCCTTCAAGGTCAATTTGTGGTCGTTGCACTGTCGTCATCAGGAAGCAGGCCGCCGTCCGTGGGACACCCTCCATCGAGCTTCGGACTATGGTGAGGCACCGACGATCCATTCTACTAGAGCGGGTAAATCGTTCACGCAGCTCGATTACGTAGCAGTCATTCGGACCCTCAGCTGAATGTCTGTCTGTCAGTCACCAGCTCAATGGGTCAGCAAGCGCGCGTTCGGTTGCAGAAGCTGGAGCTTTGCCTTCCGACTAAGGTACGCGGAGCTGACAGGGTGGGGAGACCACTTGAGCAAGCAGCACTCTCAGACACGAACAGGCAAAGATGGGACGGACAGATGGGCAACGATGAGCAACGATGGACATTGTGTGCCTCTTGCCCTCTTCGACGTGCGGCGGCGGCGCGCGCTAACATGCAGGTTGCCTGATTGTACCCAAGATGGACGCGAAAGCGAACGTATACAGGTTACGCGAGCGCTTTTCATCGGATTGGAGCTTAGTTTCAGTGACAGATCAACATCCAACACACACAAGGCGGGGGGCTTGGAAGTAGTAGATGGTGCGACAGAGTTTCCATTCATTGTCAAAAAACTTTGCTCTTTCTTTTGCGGGCGTTGAGCGTTGCTATGGGTGCGGGAGTGTGTGTGTGTAAGCGCATTGCGATTGCTGCTAAGGTAGAGTTGAGCCTCTAGGTTGGCTCAGTAAAAGACATTCGTATTGTTTTCGTTCATCTAGCTGTTCTTTGTCTGTTCTTGGCGAAGCCTGTTCAATGTAAAAGAAAGCCATGGACATTGGAGCAGGAGGCTTATGAAACCAGGAGCATGGGCCACAGAGCCATGATATCGGATCTACTGCACACGCATGAAAGCAAGGGACGCTCCAGGATGTGTCCCATAGGGTATCATTCGGGCCCTAATAAGCCACCTCGAAACAAGAGGCGAGACTTGACGAGAGTCACATCCAGCCTAAAATGTTCTTGTGCAGGCCATGTCAAGACTTCTGCTCAACTTTTCCCATTGTGACTAGGGGATCGAATGACCAGCAATTGATGCGATGGGCGACTTGCCACTTTCATCTTGTTAAATGGGCAGCCTAAGTCAATTTCGGATGTTCTTCCCACGACGGACAGGCCCTTACGTATGTCACCTCGCGTGGACATTGGATGTTGGGGCAGGTTACTTTTACTCATATTCGGAGCCTGGTCGGTCATATGTAAGAATTGTGGCAGCCAAGCATGCTCAAGAACATTCTGGCTTTTCCCTTGCTATTACACTACAGGCCATGGTCCCATCTCACCACGTAATACCCTCCCTCTGCTGCCAACCGAAGAAGCCTATACCTCAAAAAGGCAGCTAGAAGACGGACAGGTCAGCTCGGAGGCATGGTCATATTGGATACGTCGTGCTCGTCTGTCCGAGGTAACAGCAACAGCAAGCAAGCAAACCTGAAAGTCCGCCTTGCCGCCACCCTCCGACCTGGCGCTCCCAGGCTCCCGAGTCAACTGACGGCAAGTCCGCAAAGGACGCCGAGTGCCCCCAGCAGCAAGTTGAGGTGGAAATCTCTCAGGGGCCCAAAGTACCATCCCACCCAAGCTTTGCCGCGCCGGTACGAATACACGCCCTTCCACGGTCCGTCCACTTGGTGCCTCTCCACACGACCAATACACCGTGGGCACCCACCGCACCCTGCCAAAGCTGCTGCTCACATTGGACCCCGAATTTTCTGAACCAAATCCACGAACCACCACCATCTGACCCTTGTTGGCGCCAGGAGCCAGTCGAAGGTCCTTCGCTACCTTTATTGCTTCAGCAGTCCCCCGTGTGTTCAACCATAGGACCTCGTCTTCTCACTTCCAGTCTGCTTCTTATATTTCTTCACTCCGAACCTAAGCAACAAAAAAGCAGCATATCTCTTTGGCTTTCAAGAACCGAGCTTGTCTACTTGGCAGACAACAGATACTTTATCAAGACTCGTACCCTACCGTCGCAGGCTACCAGAACAGCGAAAACCTATCACTCTGCTACTACATCGGACAGCCCAGAGTCCAGACCTGATCATCCCGGCGGCCCAGCCCCGTCTTTTGCGACTGCGAAAATCTGCCCCGCCGACACGCGCCAGAACCCCTCCATACCTATCCTCGCACTTGGTGCATTCTTCATCTTCTCTCAGCTTTGCTCCCCACCTCGCCCACTCCCGTATTGCTGGCCGATGGGGGTGCGACTTTCAACCTGGCCATGATTCTTGACCGTTGAGACGACTGCTTCTCTCGAGTCGTCAAGCCCCTCTAGCACCAAAATCACGAACCTAGCTATTCCAGCTTTTGGCAACATACAGGATCTGCAATCATGAAGGGCAAAAAGTTTCTTAGCCTGCGGGACAGGAGTGGCACGCATCGCAGAAGCAAATCCTCAGAACCAGGACAAAAGGTGAGCTTCATATTTCAGGAACTGAAGATGGCCCTTCTCAAAGTCCGTTTCCACGGGGACAGCCACACTAATCCCACATCGCCAAACCTAGAACCGACCACTTTCAGCCGAAGCATTCAGGTCGCTTTTCAAGAGCGATCGAGCACCGACCGACGAGGAAATAAAGGAGAAGGAGATGGCCAAGGTACACCAAGCGCAGCATTGCAATATTGCACGAGTCTAACAAGACCATAGATCGAAGATATTACGCACCTTCTTGCCGAGTCGAACATCACCGACGTTTCTGCGGAACACATTCGAGACTCCCTGAACAGCAAATTCGCTGACGGCGATGTCGACAAAACCGTCGAGTTCATTCAGCTGCAATGCAAGGCAATGGCCGGCAAGGTTGCACACTACAATCCCCAAATCGAAATGGTTGGCGCAGAGAATAGGGGTAACGTCACATGTTATCTTGACTCCCTGCTGTTTGCCATGTTTGCGAAACTGGACGCCTTCGAATGTATGCTGAAGAACGAATTCACGGACGAACCAAGGCGTAAACTAGTCACGCTGCTCCGCTTGTGGGTGAACATGCTCAGGAGCGGAAAGATGATTCACGCAGATATGGTGAGTTGCAGCTGGTCTTGCAGTACCTGTCCTGCGCTAATCGTTACAGACGAAACTGATTCAGGATGCGCTGGCTGAGTGCGGCTGGAGTGACGCCAAGCTCCTAGAACAGCAAGATACTTCTGAAGCCTTTGCGTTTGTCACAGAAACGCTCCAATTGCCCCTGTTGCAATTACAAGTTGACCTCTTTCACCAAGGCAAGAACGATAAGGACGACCACAAACTGGTCTACGAAAGACTTCTCAACCTCGCCGTACCTCCCGATTCGGAAGGCAAAGGGATCAGGCTAGAAGATTGCTTGGAAGAATACTTCAACACACAAGTTGATGTACTCAGGGACAGCCACGAAGACAAGAAAGAGGCGGAGAGGGTAACCCCGAATACAAACACGAATGGGATACGGATTGTCACTCAAGAGAACGAATTAGAGGCTGGCGCGCAAGACACGCTGAGTGCGTCTCCCGCGCAGCTTTCTCCAGTCCTTGAGCGGCGGTGGACAGCCTCGCAAACACCCAATGGCGTGCCAGAGTCTCCCAGTAGCTCTTCGCGGCCAACCCCAAGACACCGTTCAACTAGTGTTATACAACGCGTTGTACTGGAGGAGAAGGACAAAGACAAGGGGAAGGAGAACGAGCCGTCCACCATGCTGGAAAGGGCGCGACGAACGAGCTCCACCGTGGTGAAAGCCGTGACGATTCCAGCCTGGCAGTTTTTCAGATTGATTCCATGGCACGCCGCCGGAAACAAGGAGCCTAAGAACGATATGGAGGTCGCTATGAACTTCAACCAACGTCCTGTGGTCGGTATCTGCCTGAAGCGGTACATGATGTCGAACTCCGGCGTTCCACAGCGCCAGAATACCTTTATCGATATTCCGGACAGTCTAAGGCTTCCGCACTTCATGCTCGGCGACGAGACGCAGCTTGAGGAAGACCCCAACGGCTTCAGCATGGAGTATAAGTTAGTGCTACAGTCTGTGGTCTGTCATCGTGGCGACTCTGTCTACAGCGGCCACTACATCTCATTCGCCAGAGTTGCGCCCAAACTCCTCACCGACAATAGAAGACACGACAATGACCCCCCTCCAGACTACGAGGAGGCGCAATGGGTCAAATTTGACGACCTGGATATCGAAAACAGGGTGACTTATGTGGACGACATCAAGCAAGCTTTGAAGGACGAGATGCCCTACCTCCTATTCTACCAGATCGTACCGATGGTAGAGGTAGCGTCAACAGAGGAGACCGAGACTGAGCCTCCTTCTTACAATGAGTCCAAGGTCAGCGTCAACCTACCGACGACACCGAACCCGGTCAATGGCAACAACTCTGGAATGTCATCGTCGCGGAGCGACTACTTTGAAAACACCTCGATATCTCCACCTAAAGCACCTAGCATTCGCTTTTCGTCGGAATTGGAACGTCCCAGCCGCATAAGTTTCGGCGATGACGAGCCGTACCTAGGTTTCAAGGATTCTCGACGGGGCAGCGTTACCTTCACGGACTCTACCCTAGGCACGCCAGCAATCACGCCGGATGCTATATCGCCCGCCGTCACCCCGGGAGAAGAGACGACAGCACAAAGGCTTTCGCGAGCCGCCGCTCTATTCACGGGCAAGAGCAAGAGCAGGCCTACGAGTCAAGCAGGAGAGGGTCGCATCAGTCTTACCATGACTCGACTCGGCGGGCTCATGCGACCCAGCAAGGAGCCACTCCGGGATCCCAACAGTAACATGAGCAGCAACGCGCTCGCCACGTCCATCAGTGCGCCTATTCCTGATCCAGTGACTGAGGAGGAATTTGTCGAGAACGCTGATGCAGAACCAACACCCGTTGCTGCGCCAGTCGTAGAAACCGACAGAAAAGACTCCAAAGATTTCAAAGAAAGGAAGTCATCAGAGCATCATCACAGGCATCACAAGAGAGGCAAATCCAAGAGCCGCTCTACAGAGAAGAAGAAGCACAAGGATGGAGATGAGCCGGAGCGAGAGTGTGCAGTGATGTAAAGACATTGCCGACGACAGATCAAAACAGACTAAGACGAGTGACAGTCAGAGAGACAGAGTCATGAGTTTACCAGCGCGTTGATGTATTTGGGGTAAGATTCGACGAGAGCTTGTCTCGGCCCTGGAATAGCGAGGAGTTTGGTGGACCGAGATAGACTTGGGAAGCAGAGGAGAAAGAGGTACATACTTACAGTGTGGGTGACTGCGCGAGAGAGGTCACAGCGCCTACAGATGATGAGCAGCACGAGAAGGGCGTTTCCCGGAGTTTTGTGTTGTTTCCTTTTGGGACGATGAAAAGAAGAAGAACGGAATACCACGGAATTGGAAGCAATGAGGGAGGGAGTCGATATTTAGCCATCCCCCTCTCTGCACACCACAGATAGCTTGGGATATAATAACATTGTTGATGACTGGGTCGTCATTCATCAAGATTCAGCTACCTGACCTAGTTCCCCAGTTTTGTTCCCATGTTTTGACGCATTTGAGTAACCGAATAACCGAATACCATATTTCCTGTTTCCCTCCATTGGGTGGAGGGAAAACGGCGTCCTGGACGTAAGACGCAAAACAAAAGTTCATCGTGGGCAAAGTTATCCCACGATACGAGCAAATTTTGATGGGGGTTTCCCATCCGCGATAGTAAAATTCCGATCCGTCGTCCTCTTTCTCAACCTAATGTCCTTCCTTCCACGTTCGCTCAGGTCCACCGAACGATAAAGGCAGGGAGACATACATGCCTCCCAACATCCTTCTCGTTTTTTCGAGCAAAGTAATAATCAGTGGACCAATCGAGCCTCCAAAAAAGTTTGAAAAGAAAAGAACCCAGTGTGTGTAAGACAATTCTAGTCCTCGTCATTCTGGCGATCAGCGACCATCTCGGCAGCGGTGTTGATGACCTTCTCGGGAGGACGCTCAACGACGACGTTGGGCTCCGCGGGAGACGAGATACCGGGCATGGGCGAGAGGTTGCCACTGGCGACACCGCTACCGCTTCCACCGCCAGGGACGGGGATGCTGATGTCCTCGGGGGAGCCGGGGGTGATCTTGGGGTCGACGCCGGGGATGTGGACGCGCTTGGCCTCGTTCTGGTAGGCGGCGGGGATGATCTCGATGATCTCGTCGCGGGGGAACTTGAGGATGGGGATGTCCATGGTGGCGCAGTGCATCAGGTAGGCGTAGAGAACGCGAAGAACAGACTCGTGCGCAATGATGAGAAGATCACTCTGCTCGCGCTCAAGCTCCAGAATGATGGGCTCAAGGCGGACGGCGAGGTCATGGTAGGACTATGTAATATTAGTGCTGCTCATGGGCAAATAGTGATTGTGAGGTCTGTATGCTCACCTCAGCGCGGGGGTATCTATGATGATACGGGTCGAGCTCGTGCTTCTCGACTTCCTCAGGGTAGAGGTGGCGAATGGCACGCTCCGACATCTTCTCGCAGACACCAGGGTTGATCTGGCTCATCTGAGAACGCTGACGAACCTTGAAGCCCTTGTTCTTGAGGTAATCCGCAGTTTGAACGGTACGGCAACGAGTAGAGGTCCAGACGGACAGAGGACGAAGGGGAACGGCATTGCCACCCTTCTCGACGAGTGCAGCGCGCTCCTGCTCGCGGTGCTTCAGAAGCGTCTCGGACATTCGAGCTGCGTACGCCATGCCCTCCTCAGAAAGAGGGGCATCCGCCTTGTACGAGTCTTCCTCGGTGGTAACGCCAGCTCGAACGAAGTAGGTGGTGCGCGACTTGATGTGAAGGTTGGTCAAATAGAAGACAATGCGGTGAGAGAGGTAGCCGAATGAGACATTGTTGTAGAAGAACTTCTGTCCCGCGTTGATCATCTTGATGTAGTTGAGCTCTTTCTCGTCCATGGTATCGAAGACGGGGATCTTCATGTCGATGCGGCGCAGGTACAACTTGGCAGCCTCATCAGGGTCCATGCCCGCGAACTGCACACGTTAGCACCGCGTCGCTATCGAATTTGAACGAGCACTCACATCGGGGGAGGAGATCTTGACATTGCGCGCATTCTCACGCAAGATGGCCTCGTCGTCGACGAAAGACTCGATGAACAGCGTCTATGAAACGTTAGTCATTTGAGTCATCAGAATGGTCGTATCAAATCTTACCTGGACATCGTGCTTAGCGAGTTCCTTAGCCAGGGCACGGCGACCAGCCGCGGTGGGGTTGACAGCATCGTAGATCGCGACCTGTCCATTCTCATGGTTCAACCAGGCGTAGATGTCCTCACGGCACTTCTTAAGGATCTTCTGACGAAGAATGACCGACTGAGGAGAGGCGTCAGGGAAGAAGTAGTCCTCGGGAACGATACCGCCCTTTCCAACGGTGGCACGACGGTAGTCACCGAGGTGGAAGATGCGGGTCTTGACTCCCAACCTGAGAAAACGTCAGTCAAAGCGCTTCAAACAAGCATTTTACGACTCACCAGCCCAAGTAACGCGCCAGGGAAACGCAGATGTGACTGAAAAATATTAGCTTTCGTTTTTCCAGGCCCGCTGAAGTAGGAGTAACTTACGTCTTGCCACGAGCCGGAAGGCCCACCATGACGATGGCGATGCGACCAGAATGGAACAGACGGCCGGACATTGTGCTATAAAGCTGAGCCGGCGCCATGTCCTGATCCTCGGGGACATCATGAATGCCGTCGATGAAGGTCGAGCTCTTGCGACGGTATCTCGGCGCGTTGGCGGCAATCTCGGCGGTACTGTCATGAAGAGTCACGTCAAAACCAAGATCTCCAAGTTCCGGTCGAGGGCGGTAGAAGATTCTCTGGAACTCAAAAATGTTGAGCATCTCAACCCAGTCCATGGCGGCCCTCTCCTTCTCCATGGCTGATCAGGTGGTGAGAGAGTATCAGAGGTAGTGATAGATGTTTCGATAGGGAAGTTGATAGGTAGGGAACAGAAGAAGAATAAGGCAGAAAGCTCAGAGCAGAGAGTGAGTATGAGCAGTAGTGATGACGGATATTGTGATGGGTAAGTTGACAGAGAAGAGAAGAGAAAGACAAAGCTCAGTGTAGAGAGAGGGAAGAGAGGGAAGCAGGAGAAGTAAACAGTAGCTTGAGGGGCGTGGAAAGAGGGCGTAAAGGGCACTCGCCATGTTTGTACTTCTGATGATGTCGTGCGTCCTATTTAGGTATTCACAGATGGGCACACCCGCCTCGTTTGTAAATAAGATCTCATAGCCACCAGCCGTTAACAGTCGAAAGCCGAGTATAGTCAGCCGTGCTAAGGTCTGCAGGCAACAGTCCAGCCCGGCATGGGCTGTTTGAATGTGGTTGAGGTTGTTGGAGGCATCGCAGCCCGTGACAGAGTTGTGACTTCGAAGGTGGCTGACTCTGTGTCTGGAACTCTGTTTGTGTCCTCGTGCTCCAGTATGTTGAATTGGCCCAAAGACTCCTTTCAACTCTTCCCAGTAGTCATTCTTGGATAGACTGGGCAAACAAGCATGTGAGGATGGGCCTTTGCCATGGCAATCTTTGTCTTATCAAGCGTTGAAGATCCCTCTCACTTGAAAGTTGGACCTGTCATTGCGAAGATAGAGGAACATGTATATCAGGAGGTTGGATCAGGGGCGAGCCATATTCAACAAGAGGGCGTAGGCGAGATGGATTGCGTTCCAGATTTGGCCAGCATAGCTGGCATACGGGCTCATAATCCAGGGTTCCGGAATTTCTGGCTCCCTAGAAGTCACTCGTGTTTCTGATTGAATTCGAACCATAATTACGCAGTGTCCAGAAGCACTCGCCTCAGTCACAGGAGGAAAATGGTATATAGAGTATGAATCGGCGGGGTTATGAAGACCCCTCCTTTTACAATAGGCAGATATCTAAGAAGAAAGTAACTCACAGTAGTGTGTCCATTTTGACGGTTGGAGCTGAGTCTTCCTTGGAACCTCGAAACAACCACGGAGTCAAGGATGGAGCTCCGTCTTCTGAGCTGGGAGCGGGCTGCGCTTAAGGCAACTACGGCCTCTGGACCGGATGGAGGGGCCGCTGCGGAAGAAAAGAGCGGAGACACGGTGACGCACTGTCTGCTTTCGAGGTTCGAATGTGTTAAGTTGGGAAAAGTAGCCGTCGTTTACAGTCCTTGCGAAGCTGATACGAGGTGTATCTTGCTCTCGATCAAGCGCAACAAATTTTGATTGCAGCAGGTAAAATCGCGCAGGTGACTTGCTTCAAAGGGTTTGGCGATGACTATTCGAGGTTGAAGTGGCACTGGTGTCTGAGCTGTCCCGTTCCGATTTAAGCCGCCAGTTTGTGTATGGCCCGCGGCTCTTACAAAGAGACTCTACGAAGGCCTGTGCTGCCAAAGCCCAACCAAAGAAGTGTTCAGGTAGTGGCGTAAAGGACGTTGAAATCCGCAAAGCCTCAGAATCGTGACTTTAGAGATCTGAAGCCGAGGGTATCTGAGATGTGAGTTGAAGTAGGTCGTCGCCTAGTAGTAAGTCGCTTAGGTAGTGTGGTAGTTCAGGGAGCACAAAGACTAACACTGTGAGAAAAGAAGGTGTTGGGCTCAGCGATGGAGAGGGCCAAGGGAACGTACCGGATGCGGGCAAGGGTATGTCGTCCATTCTGGGACTAGCCCGGGGAGACGACCCGACAAGTCAGACCCGGTTAAGCTTCGGACCGACAGGGCCTGCCTTCCTGACGTAAGTCGCTGCCAGAAAGCTGGATGCTATCACGTGATGCTATTTTGTCATTGACCGTGAGCTGGAGCTCCAAAAGAAAGATCCACCGCGACTTGGACCAGTCGTGGCTGCCAGCTGTTCCTATTGGATTTAGCGTGGCATTGTGGCTCGTGCTCTACCAGCACCTCTGCCTGTAATCAGCGAAGAAATTTATTCAGACTTTCCAATCATCACCAACCCGACTCCGACTCCACGATCCTCTCCCCCCCAAACGCCCCTGCCTGCCCATTGCGCGAGCATCAACCAATCCCCAGGGCAGTCGCAGCTGTATTATCTCGAATAGACCCAGATCATCTGGTTCTCTTGTTGTTCTCTTCCGACTTTTTTTTCCTTTTCTTGCCCTTTCTCTATCCGGTTCTGCTCGACTCAGGCCGGCGCCGACCATCGCAGCAATGGCGTCAAGCTTGGAACAAATCCAGAATGTTCTCCTGAACAACCCCGTCGCCAACTCCCTCTCAGATGCCATCAGCTCCTTCTCGGAACGGAGGGCGAAGCTCGGCTTGTCCAATCCCGGCACCACCGAGAACCTAACTAGGGAGGTTCAGCGCGATGTCTTGCTCACGAACTACATGTTCACCGGCCTTCGCGCCGACCTGACCAAGGCCTTCAGCATGTCGCCTCTGTTCCAGGTTTCTCACCAATTCGCTATGGGCGAGCGTTTGAACCCGTACACCTTTGCTGCGTTGTACGGAACAAGCAAGGTCCGTCGACAATTACATTGCGAAGCAAGCGCGATGAATCTGGCTAACTGACTTTCCAGGTCTTCTTGCAAGGAAACATGGACAACGACGGCCAGCTCTCCACCCGATTCAACTACCGATGGTCTGATAAGCTTGTGTCGAGAACCCAATTCCAGGCCGCCCCTGGCGCTGGTCAGGAGATGCTCCAGTTCGAGAACGAATACACCGGCGACGACTTCACGGCTTCTCTTAAGATGCTCAACCCTTCCTGCCTGGATGGCGGTGTTACCGGTATCTTCATTGGTAGCTACCTCCAGTCGGTCACTCCCAAGCTTGCCCTCGGCCTCGAGACCGTCTGGCAGCGACAGGCCATGACCCAGGGTCCCGAGACTGCCACCTCATACTGCGCCCGTTACAAGTCTAACGACTGGGTTGCCACCGCTCAGCTCCAGGCTCAGGGTGCTCTGAACACCTCCTACTGGAGACGTCTGTCCGAGAAGGTTCAGGCTGGTGTTGACCTGTCTCTCTCGCTCGTTCCCGGTGCCGCTGGCGTCATGGGTGGTTTCCAGAAGGAGGGTGTCACCACTATTGGTGCCAAGTACGACTTCAGAATGTCTACCTTCCGCGCCCAGGTTGACTCCAAGGGCAAGCTTAGCTGCCTGTTGGAGAAGCGCATTGCCGCCCCCGTCATGATGACTCTCGCTGCTGATGTTGACCACTTTTCTGTAAGTTCAACATCTTGAAATTAAGGCGGTTCGCATGCTAACAAATTCTCTAGCAACAAGCAAAGATCGGTGTCGGTATCTCCATCGAGGCTGGTGGTGAGGAGCTCCAGGAGCAGCAGGAGACTCTGGGTGCTCAGGGAACCCCCAACATCCCCTTCTAAACCTGAAAACAAACACGAGGATGGCTTGGTGCATAGCCAAGTCAGAACCGAAGCTCCGCTCCTAATCGAACCCAATAATTGATGTTTTTCCCCGGCGAGGACAAGAAACGACGACGACGAACTTGATTTTCTTTCGCAAGTTCTCATTCTTATACTGCTGTCTTAGTACAAACGACTTCACGCCTCGACAGCACGGACCCGACAAACCAGAGTATCGGATACTCCCCCCCTCCCCCCCCCTCTCTGGAGGTCTTCTACCTTTTGGTCCGCCCGTCACACTCATGTTCGTTGAACCTCGACTTCTATACTCGGCCGGATAGAAAGACCTGTGTATATTACGCTCAGCCCGAGCACCAGATTCAGGGCCAATATGGTGGTGTATTGGTCGGCTTGGATGCATTTTTGGGAGGCTTGGAACGGCATACCCGAAGCGGAGTGGCTGATGCCACAACCCACGAGAGCATCTACTTGAGGCTGCGCACTATGAATGGCCTCCGTGATGAACAACTCTCGTATGTACTGTGTATGAAGGAGATAGAATTCAATGCTGATACAACATCACTTGCCATGTACATGGGCGCGCTGTGAATGTGATGGAAGCGCAAAGTCCTGGGATCGCATTACGTTGAGCAGTTTTCTAATCTCGCTAGATATATCCAGGCCACTACATCTTCTTACTCGGAAGCAATTTGCTTGTATAGCGCCTTGAGTTCATCGTCACTCATTTCCTTAATGCCAAACAGCGCATTGTCGCTCTTTGCCCAAGGCTGGGCAAACTCCTTTTTGGCGCACGCATACAACAGCTGTGGGTACATCACATCGGGCGTCATGATACCCTTCTTGATAGACTCCATACAGTTCGCGTAGATGGCGTCAACGTCGACGGTAGTCGTCTCCCACGAACCGCTCACGGCCTCCTGAGCGAGAGCGCCCATCTGCTTCTGCGACTTGACGGCGGACTGAATGTACGCGATCCTATTGGCCGTCTCGTCGGGGTGCAACAAGGTTCCCACGACAGCCTTGCCGACGTCGGCGAGCATCGTGTAGGGGATGACGTTCTCGCCGTCGTTGAAAAGCGAGAGCTTCTTGTTCTTGACGTCGACGCCCATGAAGCTGGACCGGATGCCCCAGTCGAGAAAAGGTCCGTTGGTGACGATGGTGTAGGTGAACTTGCCGTTGTTCTCCTGGGCCTTTTGCTGCATGAGGCCGTGCGTCAGGGCCTTGATGCCGAAGATGGGCAGGCTCGGCACGTGGGCGCGCGTGGGGTCCAGGCCGAAGTCGGGCGGGATGTAGCGGTAGACGCCCGCGGCGACGGCGGCGTCGACGACGCGGGTTGCTACCTTGGGGTCGAAGCTGTTCGTCGAGTTGACGAGGGCGTCTTGACCTTTGAGGGCCTGGGTTAGGGAGTCGAGGGACTCGTAGTCTACCTCCTTGACTGTGACGCCCGCGGGGAACTTTTGGGAGCCAGTTTTGCGGGTTAGGATTGTGATGGTGAATTTGTTGGAGTCCATGAGGGCCTTTAGGAGGGAAGGGCCTAGGTTGCCGCCGGCCTGGACTGTGTCAATGGCTGTTCAATCAGGGACATGAGGTGGTACTTACGCCGGCGAGAGCGACGTTCTTGATTGTCGGTGCCATGGTTTGTACTTGGTTGGTGATCTTGTATTTCTTCTTGAGGACCGAGACCAGAGTTTCTCACAAAAATTCTAGCTGGCTGTAGGGTCCTTCTTATGAGCTCTAGTAGCTAAGCTATCTATGAGGGAAACAAGGATGAGAGCTGCGTCGCGTTACGTTCCGGACCGCAAGCTTCGAAAGCATATGCCGCTGTGACGCCATTCCGTTCCAGGCTCGTCTGAAGGTGAAGGCGGTTGCCATTCGTGTTCGAACCGCCCACGGGGGAGGAGAGGCCTTCGCTCTTTCGCGCTTTTGAGCCCTAACCCTTTTGTGTTCCATGAGATATGGTTACAGCAGAGAAGTGCACGTCCGGTTCAACGTTCTCGAATACGTGCTACGGCGGGTGCCCTTGCGTTTCTGCACTACACGGACTGCTGTCATTTCGACATCTCGGCTTTGGACTTTGGTATATACGATGTTAAAAAGCTCTAGGTGCCGCCCAAAGTCATCACCGCTAATGGCTGTTTCACCGGCTGTCGGGATTGAATGATCGTGAACAGGCCGACAAATAATCGGTATTTGAAAGAAGCACGACTTTGAGGAATAAATTCTCTCAGGTTCTCGACCCTCGCTCAGACTTAGTCAACATGCGTAGTCCGTTGGCTCTACATATATCTGGTTATGCGTGACATTAGCCTTCAACAGATGAGATGAAGAGAGCCCATGGCGGGTAAGCCGGATACGGATGTCTCGCCGTGTACTTTAAAACTCAATTTGAAGAAAGAAACAAATGAGACATTCCCGAATCTAAAACCTGCAGCTGACAAAGAGAAACTAGCTCAGAGAAGTTTCTGAAGCGCGTGGGCACGCCGGCACGTTACGAATCCCCCGGTTGCGGTCGGTACCGGAGTGGGGCCCCGGACAACGGAGGTCCGTTGCCTGATCTTCGGGATGGTTGGGCGAGGTTGGGATACCCCTTCATATAACGCTGACCTGCCAAGTGGGTGACAGAACAGAATACCGGTCAACAAAAGATTGCAATACTTACGACCTGTTCATCATTCTTCGCTTTCTTATTCTTTTTATTCATAGTTCTGCTATTACTTATGTCTTTTATATATTCACTAGCGAATACTCTCTAGAAAGTATAGAATGAAGAGTATTAGGAAAAGAGCTAGGGTTTATAAAGCGGCGCACGATTGTGTCACCCACTTACCTGCTAACCAGGCTGCTTACCTTACTCAATGCGCTTATTCTCTTCACTGCGGGCGATACGGCCTGTGAGGGTGGAAGTATTGTCCGCGATAATCGTGCGTGTGAGCCGTTTGAGTGTCCCTTGTGACTTTTTGGTCACTCTGTGCATGGCTTGGCCGATGTTGCTAGCAGTGAGTTAGGCTCAGAGGAAGATTGGGAGTCTTGCTATCTGCAAGTCCTCAATCAGAGACAATGTTACTTTCGTAGACATTTGCAAATGCTAGAAGGTATTGAAACACCCATACTCACAACAAGGCACATGCACGATCTAATCAACCCAGATATGAATTAAAATCGAGCTGATAAAGTTGCCTTTACTACTCAAATTACCTCAACTTCGAGGTATCCTCATACTGCATGATTCCCCTTCTTTGCAACTACTGCAAAAGAAGAGAGAAAGGCAATTCAACTACAGCGCAAACGCGTTTGCATAATCAAGCAAAACATAATGCGGCGACCGAGACTCGAACTCGATGCATAAGCAAACGCCAATGGGAGAAATGGGAAGCTTATATGTTACCCTTACACCACCGCCGCAATGGAAGAGGAGCTTTGTTTGTTCCTGCAGGTCCGAGGCATAAGCACACCTTATGTAGGAGGGTCCCGATGGGTAGGAAGAGCTAGGCTCGATTGAGAGCGCCTGTTCCAACCAACCGTAAAGTAGGACGGAAAGGCTGGGCGGGCGCGTAGGAGGACGATTTGCGAGTTGCTGGTATTTCGTAGGGAGCAGGGTTCATCGGTTTCACTGGGTGTCCAGGGAAAGGTAGAATGATGAATGGTATTCGTAACTTGAAGACCAACAAAGAAAGAGAAATGAGAAAGGAGTTTTACTGTTGGAAAGGTGAAAAGTGAATTGTTCAGGAATTGAAGCGGAAAAAAGATTTTGGTCGCTAGCTGCTAAAACAGAGTGGTGGTCAGTGCACCAGCAACCGCCACTCACTGACAGAAAACCCAAAGCCTAACTCTTAGCACCATTCCCATCCTCACTGCTGTTCTGAACACCATCACCATGCTTGTCTCTGCGACCGCCGTTGTTGGAAAGCTGGAAAAAATAAGGTAGAGGGAGGACAGCTCATTGAAAAGAAATTTAGCTGGTAAGCTGGGCTTTGTTACTTTTGTCCAAGTGTTATCGTCACTCTTTATCTCTGTGGGAAGAAGCTGCTCAACGGACCCTGAGACTTCGATCGTTCGATTCTTCCGAGTTCTATTCTTCTCGATCTATAGAGTCCACACAATTGTGATTGCATCACACTAAGTTGAATTATGTGGCCTTGAAATTGCTCGATCTATAATAGTCTTCGGTTCCGCCACCTTGATCCCACTCTGTTGTTATTATATCATACCACATTAAACCATGTGGCCTTGAATGTGCCACCGCTTTAAGAGGCATGAGATCTCTGATGAACTCGTAGTTTTTAGATCGGGCTTGCTTTTCAGCGTATTCCAGACCGTGGAAGCGGGCGCCAGAGAGAATGGCATCGGCCAGAGACGTGTACGGACCTTCCTGGCTCATGCCCTCATCATCCTTCCGTAGCACAGAATGAAATTTTCTCCAATCGATCACGTACGGTTGTAAGGGCCCCCTAGGTGCCCCTTGTCTCGAAGGTAGATCGAAGACCAAAGCGAAATCTCGTTCGCCAGCTGGGTCCGGATAGCTGCAACGCAGGAAGAATTGCCAAGGCTTATCATGAGGGCTCCCTGGAACATTGGCAGGCGGTGGCATGGCAATGACAGTGGTAAATGTGCCTTTCTCATGCTTCGAAGACATCATCGGAGGAAATGTTTCGACAATGTTTATGGGAGGGGCGAAGAGATAGTCGCTCACGGGGGGGTTCGTGATAGATATTTGCCAGGCGCCAGCGGCCAGTGGTCGCTCCCATGAAGGCTCTCGCACGATGACCAGCTCCTCATAGGTGGCCTCTCCCAGGCTATTGAGGCTAGTTTCCGAGAGCGCGACTGGCCCAGAGGGAGACCTGACAAACTCGTCGCCCGAAGGAGAGTTGTTTAAAAACAGAGGAAGACATATCCTGCGATCTTGATCGTCAAGAGCATTCAACAGCGCATAGTAGCAGTTGGGCGCGTTATGCGATCCGCTCTCAAACTCAGACAGCAGGAGAAGAGATAGGTTGATTCGGAAGCCCCTGTTGGTCATTCGAAACTCCGAAGAGGACATTTCTGTGATATTGTCAGTGTAAAATGAAGCAGCTCTCGTCATTGCAGCCGGTGATGTTGCAAAGAAATGTCCTCGGGTGCTGAGAGAATTTCCGAGACCCCAAGAGGCCAGTAGACTTTGGTCAGTTGTTTCCTTAATGATCTCCTGCTGCAGACGTACGAACGCCATGTCGCCCTCTCCGTAAAGAAGGGGTATATTGATGTCGAAAAGACCAAGGAGACAGTACGCCATATCTTCTTTACGTGAAGTCTGTCTTCTACTTGCCCACGACATTCTCTGTGCCAGGCAGACATCTTGGAACGAATGATCATGTGCCAAAATAGCCCTCGGTATGCCAGTGATTTCTGACATCTCATATCGCAAGGAGTCTTTGTCTCCCACGAGCTTCCACTCCTGGTTATAGAAGTACATGTGTCTTGGGGCCAAGAGCTCTTGCAGTGTCCACCCCCTAGTAAACCATCTGCACTGTGCGAAGTCTAAGGGGGCGTTCGTAACATCTGATGGCTGGAAATCTGACAGAAACACAAAACAAATTCGCGCCTCTTGGTACCATCGGAACATGGAGTTGATGGCTTCAGAAAGTTCAGCACTGCTGCTCTTGTCTATACAGCATGTGTCGACCCAGACATATTGTAACAAATGTTCTTTTGTAAGGCGTGCGCTCTGGACAATCTTGTGGAATCCGGACCGTTGTCGTAAGTCTTTGGCTTTTTTGGCCGAGTTCATCGTAGCCGACGCCATTAGGGCTTCGACAGAAGCAAAGGCTTCGATGTTTTCCTCGTATTCGTGGAGCCAGCAGAGATCTTGAAACGTGACCTCATCTCTTTCCCAAGTATGAGAGAGAATCGTGTAATGAGACGTCTCGTCATCAAAAAATTCCTCCAACTGGAGAGTATTAACGTTGATGAGCCTCATGCTTTCTTTGGATCAGAAAACTTAGTGCTTGTCCTACTTCGCAAGCACGGGTCTAAAACAGACGGTGTTGACTATGACTTGTATAGTCGGTAATCTAGTACTCTGACCCATAAAGTAAATATACGAATACACGGCGAAACGTTGAGTTCTCACCTAGATCGGTTCGGGGACGAACTCAGTAGCTTGGTCGGTTTGAACACTTCGGGTGCCGTGACTTGGGTCGAGGGAATAAGTAAGGAGCAACCAACGACTTCTTCTTGCCTACCAATTAGCAAGACGGTACCAACTGGGTCGCAGCAACACGTGAGAGGGACGCATGATAAACGAGGCTGCCTTCCTCTGACCAACGAATGGGGAGATAAATCCATGTTCAAATGTATGCACGATATGTACCAATCAATTCCCTAATAGTGCTACCATAAACTCCAGTAATGCTATAACTGACATGATACAAGCGATTGCGCCATGAAGCGCACGAGAGAGGAGGGATCTATGTCTGGGAAGTAATCAATGACCAAGGCGATGCCGGGCTGTTGACCGCGCCTTGTGCCGTCTAAACGACTTCTAGTCAAACAAAGTGTAATTGGAGTTGCCTGGCGCCTGTCTGTTGCTCTCATTGTACGACGGGGGCGGCTGGATCTGCGGTTGAGACTGCGAGGGTGCAGCGGGGAGGGCAGGGTGGGCGGCGGCAGTCTGCTGAGTCCACTGCGCCGTCTTGACCACCATCTTGGCGAAGTACTGCTGAATGAACGACTCACTGTGATATGTTAGCTCAAGTTTGGAGATCCTCGGGGCAAGAAATCACTAACGTATAGTAGCTGTGGTCCGAATTGTGAGATTGAACCAGGTTGTGCGCAAGCTCGTGAGCCAACACCACCCACCACCACACAGCCGCCTCGGCCTTTGCTTCGCCACTCTGGGTCTTGAGGATCTTCTCCGCATGGAGCTGCAAGAAGAAGCGCAAATTGCAGAAGACACTGCCGTTGCTATTAAAAGCAATCGTCGAGCCAGACTCGTCATAAAAGATGTGAAGAACGCGCGGCGAAAGAGAGTAAACGCCGCCGACCTCACTAAGAAGACCAGCAAACGCGTTGATGGGGCCGTGGTTCCTCGAGAGGAATTGAGCCGAATCAATGGACAGGTTCTTGGAGACAAAGACTTTCATACTGTTCGATGCCTCCGCCGCGAAAACGATATTCTGCGCGGGCGTGCTGTCACAGTAAGTGGCCTGTTCCTTCACCTCGTTGACGCTCGGTGGCGAGAACACGCTGTTGGAGTCATGAGCCCTGGTAGAGTTGATGGCGTTGAGCAAGTTCTGTCCCACGGTCGCTGGGTTGGTCACGCGACCGTCATCGGGTTTCTTCTCGGTGCCGCTACTGGGTTGGTTCGTGATGCTTTGTGACTGCGGCCGACTCTCAGGAGGATTGTCCATGAACTTTTGAAGCTGGTCCTGCGCTTCATCATTCTCGTTAGCATCGAAGCCAAACCTACGAGTCAGGTTCGAGAAGAGCCCCTTGCTCTTCCGCGACTGCTGTGGAGGAGGCGATCGATGAACCTCTTCGGGACTGTCGTTCCCGAAAGAGCCCGGCATAACCGGATCTGGTGTCTTTGCGGTTTGTCGAGCAGCCTCAGCAGCCTTTGCTTGCTGGCTCCATTCTTTCTCCTTCTCTTGTATCCGCTTTTGTTCAGCCTCCAGTGCCTTGCGGCGCTCCTCCTCGGCAACTCTTGCTTCGGCCTGCTTGGCGCGAAGGATTCGATCGACATTGTATCCTCTGGCCCTCAAGGCGTAGAGGTCGAGGTTAAGGAAGGGCTCGAAAAACAAATAGGCCTGCTGGTTCGGCCGTGATAGGAGAAGCTGGCAGATGGCCTGACCAACCTGATACATGTCAGGCTTTTCCTCAGCTGCAACGTAGAGGATCCAACTTGAGCCTGACTGCGCGCTGGCGGCGGATCTCTTTTCCGTGTGAGATTGGCTGTGGCCCCTAAGTGAACGACGAAGTGCGACCGAGCGAACGAGCTCAACACGCAGGCTCTTCTCCAACCACTTGGCATCATGTTTGATGTAGTCCCGTCGGTAGTTTGCATACTCGTGAAGGAAGATCTTGGACCGCTCTAGGACATGTTTCCGCAGAGCAGCTGCCCGGTCCTGCTTATCCGCGTGAGGGCCTATCCGTACTTCCTCTTCCACGAGCGAGCTCAATGTTTGAGCGCCAAGCTGATGATAGAATTCCTCAAGCACTTCCTCTTCGGGCGCAGTGATCAAGTAGTCCTTGAACAAGCGGTAGCTAATAATGTCGTCCAAGATGACGATTCGATTCGCAGTAGCCAGCTGGTATTGCTTAATAGGGGCATCGTCGTCATCCACTTCAATAAGCTTTTCCTTGGATGGCGGCGATGGGATCTCCTTGGCTGCGAGTAAGAAGGGAGAACTCTTCATCTTGCGAATAAGCTCTTTGTCTTTCTTCAACGTCGGCATGTTCTCTGCTAAAGACTTCAGAAGAGCGAGGTACTTATCCGGGCTCTGAAGTATGCTGAGAAGTCGTGCAGGTTCGGTGCAAGCTAGATTTGCTATCTCTGGCTTACTTGGTTCCTCCTTGGCTCCACATTTGTAGAGGAATGTATTCGCATTCGTCCCGAAGTCGACAAAATCGAAGATGTTACCGTATGTCGCCGAAGTGCCCAGGTAGCATCGCTTGGGGCTGAGATGGGTGACATAAGAGCCACTCTTCTCGCCTGAATCGCGAGCCTGGCGTGTTACGGGAACAATGGGTGCATCACGCAACTTGGATAAGCTGCCCTCTCCAAGATCGCTGTTACGAAGGGCGAAATACTCGAAGAGAGTGATGGCCATTTGTTGATCCTGAGGTGGCTTGGCCAGCAGACGAGACACACACTCCGTGATGGGCGGGTCTCTAACCACCCCAAACTTATTGGCATGCACGTGAAGATCTTTCTTCAAAATGTCGAAGCCCAGGATTGCGGCCCGCTCGTTGGTAAAGCAGGCTGAAGGTGTGACTAACTTGTTGCCCTTCTGAATGGGCAAGAAAGCCTTGCGACTATCGGCGAGATTGAAGGCCCCATAACCGTTAAGGTGATGATTTGCGATGAAATAGGTCATAGCGGACGTTCTGAGCTCTGCATCTGTAGAAGCCATCATGTTGACCATCTCAATCACAGAAGGGTATGGTCGCAGGCCTAGGATGGCCAGGAATCGACCCTCAGGGCTGTTGGCTCTATAGCTTCCGGGCGGACCAGGCCACTGTAATACAGGCAACCGAAGAGTTCTAAGTGTATCCTTTGGCTCGAAGAGCTCCGAGACTTTGTACAGCTCAGTTGTGCCTTTGGTCGGCTCCATTCCTTTCGCTCCATCTTCTGCCGGACAGAAACGAGTATCCTTAAGCTTCGTCATATCGGCGGCGGGGATGTCATCCTTGACTGAGGCGAGATACTTGATGAGCTCCATGTGGCTCCACCTCTGCGCACCCTCGGCCGAGGGGCTCAGTAATCTTGAAAATATGGTATCAAGGTCGACCGTCTTGCGCACTCCGATTGCCGAAAGAAACTTGTCTTTCAGGCCTTGGCAGCCTTGGATGATGGGCAGATCATCAAAAAGCTTGACGGTGGGGAAGAATGAGTCGGTTGGCTTCTTCATGCCCGTCTTTGTCGGCATAACAGTATGAGCCTGGAGCAGAGTGATGATCACTGACTTGGAACTTTGGCTGATGTTGTCCCAGTTCTTGGACAGTACCGTAAGAACCTGAAGGGCGAACTTTGGGGACTTTTTCAGGTTTTGCTCGTCAGACCTGCCTGATCCCAACTCCAGCAGGAAACGCAACCATGGCACGACTTCCAGAGGCTCCCAACCAAGGGCTTGCAGCTCAGCAGCAGAACAATGGTTGGTGTACGCCATAGGTATAGTGCGCGGGGGGATCGGAAGATTCGCTGGAATCTTGTTCGGCAACTGATAATTGGTAATGGAACCAAGGGCAATGATATCGCCTTGGTCGCTGCCATCTTCAGTGACCGTGGCAACCGCTACATCCAGAAGGCGAGCTTTGCTGGGAGGATCCAGTTCTCCGCTAAGTGCCTTTTTGCCGGCCCAGGCAATGAAGTTGATGAGCTGCTCTTTGTTCATTGCCTTGGTTTCCAGCTCTGTCCGTACGTCATCAACAGTGATTGGGCTGATGAGTCCAAAGTCCATCAGCTTCCTAACGAAAGCATTCTCCATGAGCTCTCGAGGCACGACAGGGATGGTATCGACGAACTTGCTGAGCTCGTCAGAGCCAAGTCGAACCTTCGTGCTGGACAAAACACCTCTGGAGGAAAAGATCTCAATGGAAGCCTTCTTGAAGGCTGTCCAGAACGCTTCCTCGAGAATCTGGGACACTTGACCGCTTGGTGTAGAATCAGCGAAAGTGAATGTCTTTAGGATGTGTAGTGCTTCAGGTAAAAGCTTAGCGAGATCTTCTGCGCCAATCTTGGTCGCAGCTCCAACCATATTCTTGACTTTGGAGTCGAGGTCGCTCATCTCGTTGATGAAAGCAAGTCTTGTCATGATACCGGCCGCCCGGAGCATCTCGATGTTCCATGTCCTGACCCATCGTGCATTGAGGTCAATAGCCTCACGCTCAACCGTAGGAATGACCGATTGCGCCGAGATGTGCATGCCGGCACCGGTTGTCTGCGTTGTGGGAAACCCGATGAAGATGCGGCCACCGGGCTTCTTGCTGGGCAAAACTGAAGCGAACACGTCTACAGATTTTGAGATGGTGGCGGAGCGTGAACTCTCTGAAGCCATGGTCTCATCATAGGACGAGGTGAGAATGGCCAGCTTCGTGGTCTTTGGTGGTGGTTTCTTTGTCGCGCGCTCCAATTCCGTTGCGAACGAAGTTGATACGCTGGTCTTGACCCAGGCGGTTGTCACTCGCAAGAAGATGGTTGAAGTAGCGAGTTTGGTCACGTCCTCACTAATCTCCTCCTGAGCAGCTGCCTCTTCTCTCTGTTGTCTCCCCTTGACAGTGACCTGCGATGCTGAGGAAGTCAACCTTGAGAAGAAGCTCCTCAGTGAGGGCACCTCAGATCCAGCGCCATATGTGTCGGCTGACTTGGCGGCCGCCATAGCCTTTGGCTTCCAGCCAGCGGCACTCATGACGGCCGCATCGATCTGAGTGCTGGTTCGCTCGACTGATTTGACTTGCATCAGACCCTCTCGTGTCCGCGTCTCAATATCTCTCGGAATGGGTACGTCGAGACTGGGCGAGGTCTTCTTGTGAAGATCCAGGATCTTGTAGTCGTCGATCCAGAACTCGACATGCTGCAGAGCGACGAATGTCAAACTGGTTGCGA